TCGCATCGCTCTCCATTTGCCATCCTGTCTGCTGCATCCTATGAAGTTCTTGCCCTGGCGCCTCTTGTTGGCACTGAGAGCCGCTCGTCTCCTATAGGGTGCGCACGCCAGCCTCCTCTGACATGGACGATGTGGCTTGCTCTCTCTCTCTACTACACACACCGGCCATGCGCGCGCACCTCTCCACATAGACACTCTCTCTGTGGCGCCGTGTGAGCGCGCTGCGATTTCCCAGGACGATAGTCAGTGTCACTTACTCTTTCTCTCCTACACTGTGATTTCCTGTTCGCATCGCCGTGTTCCTTTACGGGACAAATTGATGTGTTTGTGTATATATGTATTTACTTCTTACTCACACACTCACTCACACGCACACACACACACACACACACACACACACACACACACACACACACACACACACACACACACACACACACACACACACACACCTCAAACACAAGGAAGACCGTGCGCGTGTGTTGGACAAACGCGACGTCATAAAGAAGACGTGCAACACAATTAATCGCAGCAAGCGCGCCTACCGGACAAAGACAAACGGACGCGCCATCCTGAGATCGCCCTCTTGCACCGTGTAGTGCGCCTGCCCACCGAGCAAACGAAAAGGTGGCAAAAAGCACATGCAGCCATTCGCGTTGAGATCACAGTGGTCTCCCGTACACACACAAACACACACAACCACATACACGTACGCGCGCGCGCACACACACACACACACGCACGCACGCACACACACACACGCACACACACACACACAAACAACCATATGCACGCACCTTCATTGTTCGCAGGAATCCGTTGTGAAACAGCGACATCATAAAGCTCTCGGCAAGGTCGTCCTACGAATGCAAAACACGAGATCACCCACATGTTTGTGCACAAACACACATGAGAATGGGGCAAAACGTTGATGTATGCCCACAGCACGCACAACACACACGGCACAAACAGCGGTGAAGACCAGAGCCACAGACGCAACAGGGAAGTTGCATGCATGGAAACGAACACAAATACAAACAAAACAAAACAAAAACCAGCGGACATGTGTCAGCGCACCAGATGCTGTCCAAACATGAGGACGTTGTATCCTTCACGCCGCGCACACGCATACAAGCGCCCTCGCTTCATGCGCGAACAAAAGCTGCAGATGCTCGCAAGGCTGCGGGCCACATCGCGTGTGCGTATGTGTGCGTGTGTGTGTGTGCGTGCGTGGCAGTGTGAGCGAAAGGGAGGGCACTAAAGAGCCATACACACAGGGAGGTGTACACTCGACACAAATGCATGCACCTTCGCACACAGATGCACCCAAACACGTACACGCACACGCACACGCACACGCACAAACACACATACACGCAAACATGTGCTTCACAGTCACAGTAGCACACGTGTGCAACTGACTTGTCGACGTTTGACGCTGCGTCGATGATACATTGCGACTCGTAGAAATAGGGCACGCCGAGCGCCTTCATGTACTCCACCAGCGGCCGCGGGTTGTATGCCTCCGTGCCCGGGTCAACCGTCGCCGCACCGAGCTCAAACCGCACGCCTGTTGAAGGGCATGTGCGTGTGTGTGTGTGTGTGTGTGTGTGTGTGTGTGTGTGTGTGTGTGTGTGTGTGTGTGTGTGTGTGTGTGTGTGTGTGTGAAGAGGAGAAGTCGTGTGAGACGTGGCCATTGCAAATGCACAATGCGGGCAACCGCACACTCCTCCCCCCCCCCAACACACACACACACACATGCACGGAACAATAAAGGAGCAGCCAGCCATGCCACGGCGATGCATGCCACCTTGTGCGCGGAAGACGTATTGCGCCTGCTTCATGGTGTGGAGAAGCGTGAGCGAGTCTTTGCCGCCGGACACACACACAAGCACGCGGTCTCCATCGCGAATCATGTCAAACTTGCTTAGCGCCTGCAATAGGGGTGCGTTGGTGCAGGTGTCGCGGTGTGAGTGTGGGTGAACAGCTGTTTGACATTTCACAGCCATGGAGAGCGCACGCACCCGCACATGAACATATACACGCGCACGCACATACACGCACACGCACAACTCCGCACACACACACGCACCTTAAACGTTGGGTTCAGAATGTTCTTTGGAGGACAGTGGAACCGAACGCCAGTCTTTCCCTTCTTCTGCTTCTTCTTCTTCTTGGTCGTGCTCTGGTTGGTCTTATCTTGTTCCTGCGCATCGCCGCTGCTGCTGCTGCTGTTGCTGCTCTTCTCTTGGTCGCCCGCCTGACCACTGCCACTCGTAACTTCTGCCTCGGATGCTCTGGCTGTTCCGTCCTCGCTGCTCGTTGCCTGCAAGCACGCTTGTGCATCATCACTGCCATTCGCCGATGGCTTCTCTTCAGTACCCTGCCTGTCGTCCCTTCCAACATCATCACCACCATCGCCAGGTGCACCAGCGTGTTCATCACAAACTACTGCCTCCTTCTTCTTGGGCCGTGCTGGTGCTGGTGCTGGGGCTGGGGCTGGGGCTGGTGCTGGGGCTGGTGCTGGTGTTGTCGTATTCATCAGCGCCATCAGTCGCTGCTCCTCAGCCCTCAACGCAGCCAGCCGCTTCGCCACAGACACATCTGCAGACACATCTGCAGACGCGGGCGCGGCATTGTGGGATTCGCCTGCGGGGATGGACGTGCGCTTGCTGTCTGTCTCTCCACGTGCCGCTGTATGCAGGGGGGCGTTGCCCACAGTAAACGGCGACCCCCTGCAGGCCCACACGAAAGAGAGAGAGAGGGGAGAGAGAGAGAGCGAGAGAGAGAGTGTGTGTGTGTGTGTGTGTGTTGTGTGTGTGTGTGCGTGCGTACTTGTGTGAGTGTGTTGAATGTGATTGTGCCGACAGCCAAGCCAAAAGCGAGCATATCCCATCGACTACGAAACCCGCAACGACAAAATACCACCGATACAGACCTGAGACGCTGCTGCTGCTGCTGCTGCTGCTGCTGCTGCTGCTGCTGCTGCTGCTGCTGCTGCTGATCAGTGGCAGTGTTGAGTGCAAACCACGCTGCCTCCTGTGAGTACAGGAACCAGCGAAGCGCCTCCGCCTCGCCAGACATCAGCGACACACTGGCAGCCGGCGTCACAGCCCCCGCCCTGGCAAGGTGATGATGCCTGTGAGTGGTGGCTTCCGGCACGATAAACGCATGCAAAAGACGGGGCGAAGCGCATGAAGGCACTGAACACAAAAGCATCGACAGCTGTGTATCGGCTTGCATTGAGCGAGCACGTGTGTCCTCACTTTGCGGCCTGCGCAAGTGCTGCCTCTGCTGCCGCCCACACCGCTGCTCGGTCATCGCCTTCCTGCTCGTGTGCTGCGGGCTGCGGCGTTGCCGGAAAGGCGTGTCGCAGCAAGAGTGGTGTGAGCAGCAAAGGTTGTGGGATGGTGTGTGTGTGTGTGATGGTGTGTGAGTGTGATGGTGTGTGTGATTGCGTGTGTGTGTGTGTGTGTGTGTGTGTGTGTGCGTGTGTTGTCACGTATGTGCTGCATGGTTGTCGACGTTTACGATGATGGCGCTGCACGTGCACGAGCACGAGTCGAACTTACAGTTGTGCTGTCGTTGCCGCGAGCGAGCCGGGCAAAGGAGAGGGAGCTGAGCCACTTGCGTTCCTTGTGCAACGTGTGCTGCACATGACGCCACTCCCCCGTGTCCTGCAGCGAACCAGACAAGCGTGCACATGTGAGCTCGTGCGCAACTGCGGAGGTGTGTAGCAACAACGGCATCACCGCCAGCCTCTTGACAGTCCCAAACATCACAATCATCACGACCACGACAACGACGACAGCGACGACGACAACAACAACCACCACCATTGTCCCCCCCCCCCCCCATCATCGAAATCATCACCACCATCGCCACCACGTCGCACCAGGTGCGGGTTGTAGAGCGGGAGCAGTCGCCATCCGTTCGTGGCGACAAACTCGACAGCGGAGAGGACAAAATCAACGGAGCTGTCATCCATGAACCACGGCAGGTTGATGCGCACAAACCCTGAACCCGTGCACCACACACACACACACACACGCACACGCACACGCACACACACATGCACACACACACACATGCACACACACGCACGCACGCACACGCACACACATGCACATGCACACACACACACACACATGCGCCATGTCAACGATGCATGGAATGACAAGGACGCGTGGAATGAAAAAGGAAGGCGCGAGTCAGAGTAAGAACAGTTCGAAGAAAGCTAGCAAGTGTTCAACAGTGCGTGCACAGAAAACGCATCTCGCGACAACAACACCACCGCCATCTCATCCACGCAACGCGTTTGCCTGCAAGCATGAAAAGTGTGCGCACCTGGGCGAAGCATTTCGGATGCGCCGTGCTCCTCTTTACGGCGGAGGTGGTCGCGGTCAAGACGCGAGTCCTCAACAAGCAGCCGCTCGATCCTGATGGCACAGGTGGCGGTGGTGATGATGATTGGTGAAAATGATGATTGGTGATTGGTGATGATGATGATTGGTGAAAATGGTAGTGGTCGTGGTCGTTGTGGTGAGAAAGGAGGAGGCAGAGGGTAGGCTGGGGAGAGATGAAGGCGTTGATGGGAGATGTGCGCTCGCATGCGGGCTTGTGCGTGAGATATGCTGCGTGTGCACCAGCACAAACGTGTGCGCACTCACTGTTCGGCCAGGGGCTGCGACATGCCCATGAGTCGTTGGGCATAGGGGCCGGCACAGGCGCATCCGCCGCGTGCTTGAACACCAAACAAATCATTGAGGAGACAGCACACAAAATTGTGGTGGAGATACAGTCCACTCTGCTGATGAAACACCATGAACGACAGAATGGCAGCCCGCGGCGCTGTCTTGCTGCCCAGAATGTGAATGGCGCTGTGTTTGGAGAGGCGTGCCAGGGCACGGGCTGCAAGATCTGTCTCGTGCCTGCAAGCAAGCCGAGTTTGAAGAGAGCAGCATGCATACGTCACGTGGATGCACACAAGTGACACGACTGTAGCAATGAAGGTACCACGACGGCTGGCGCACGCGGGTCCCGGTCAATGACGACACGACAGGACGTTCACACGACGTAGCCACCAAGGCCACGCACGCACGCACGCAGACATTGACACATGCACGAGAACCACGCGCATGCACACGCACTCACTCACACACGAACTCACACACACACACACTCACTCACACGCATACATCACATCACACACGCACTCACAAGCACTCACTCACATTCACACTCACTCACACTCACACTCACACGCACACGCGCACGCACACGCACACACACGCACACACACGCACACACACGCACACACACGCACACACACGCACACACACGCACACACACGCACACACACGCACACACACGCACACACACACACACACACTGGCGACTGACGTGAGAATGGCGTCGGGGTCTGCCTCGAGCTTGAGCTTCAGGGTCAGGCCTGCGCGGATGGAGCCTACAATATCTGGCGTGCCGGCCTCCTCCCTCGTCTCCACATCCTGCAGGTACCGGTGCGCCGCTGCTGTGACGAAGAAGACGCTGCCGCCGCCCGGGTGGGCTGGGGTGCGCCCGCTGAACAGCCGCCGCTTTGCAATCAGCACCCCTGTTGGTGGCAAGTCGTTGTGGTGGTGACAGGTGGTGTCAGGTGGTGCCAGGTGGTGGGGGGAGCGGGATGGCAGTGGACTGCAGGTGCTGTTGATTCCAAAGACAGGAGAGGGTGGTGTATGTATGGCAGGCGCCACAAGGGTCGGCATATACATGACCGTACTGCTTGTGCTCAGCCACAGCAAGCCGCATACACAAGCACACGCACACGCACACACACACACACTCACACACACGCACACGCACACGCACACGCACGCACACACACACACGCACACACACACACGCACGCACACACACACACGCACGCACACACACACGCACACGCACACGCACACACAGCGCGCACGGCACGATACCTGGGGTGTTGAGGCCACCAACGAGCTTGTGTGGCGAGAATACAACAGCATCAGGAGCAACCAGGGCCTTGTTGTGCTGGATGCGGACTGGGTTGAGATCAATTGGCAAGTAGGCAGCTGCCGTTGCATAGTCCCAGATGGCCAGGGCATTGTGGCGGTGCAGCAGCACCGTGACGGCGTCGACGTCGCTGATGATGCCCGTGACATTGGACATGGCTGCAAACGTGCCGATGACCAGGTTGCTGCCCTTGGCGTTTGGTGCTGTGAGAAGGGCTTCGAGGTGTTGGAGGTCGATGGTGCCATCTGCTGCTTCACGAACTTCCAGGATGCTGGCGCCAGTTTCGCGCCAGGGCAGCAGGTTGGAGTGGTGCTCGTAAGGGCCGTGGATGACGGTGACTCGCTCGCCTCGCAGAACACGCGCGCGCACGTCCAGTGCGTGGACAAGCTTGTTGATGGCGCCGGTGACGCCGGAGCCGGAGAAGATGACGGCGTCGTGCTCCGATGCGTTGGTGGCGTTGCGGATCATGTCGCGCGCCTCTGCGCGGAAGCGAGTCGTCTGCAAGCCGGTAGCTGAGGTGGTGGTGTGGGTGTTGGCGTACATTGGGAGGACGTGTTGCTGGATGAAGGCTTCGATGCAAGGGAGGGCGCGGGACGAGGCCGTGTGGTCCGTGTACACAATCTCTCGTCGACCAAACGGCGACAAAAAGCTGGCCCGCATCCCTTCCAGCTGCTTCTGCACAAAAGAACGCATGGCGTCGAACGCGGCATCGCCTGTCATCGCCTGCGTTGCTCCCGTTGCTTGTTGCTGCAGCAGCTGCTGTCCCTGCTCCTTCGCTTGCTGCCGCCGCTGTGTTTGCTCGTCATCTCCCTCGCCAAGGAGCACATCGCGTGCAAAGAACTTGCGCTCAGCATGCGCCATCCTGGGTGGTTCAAGTTCGGAAGATTGGTAAAAGATACCCCATAGATTTCGGTACCCACGTTGTGTGTTTGGAAGTAAGGACAAGTGTGTGTGCGTGAGTGTGTGTGTGTGAGTGTGTGTGTGTGCAAGTGTGCGCGACTGTGTGAGTATCATCACAACACAGTTCAAGCCGAGGAATGTGGGCGGAAGCTGTGGCGCAGTTGCGGCCGCTGGTGACACCAGAACGCTTTTCCCGAGCAATAGCCGTTGCACGAGGTCGTGTCCAGGGCCTGGCATGCGTCATCGAAGTGAGTTTGTGTGTCTGTGTCTGTGCTGTGTGTGTGTGTGTCAGAGAGTGTGTGTGTGTGTCTGTGTGTGCGTGCGTGTGTGCGTGCGTGTATGTGTGTGTGTGTATGTGTGTGTGTGTGCGTCTGTGTCTGTATGTGTTTGTGTGTGCATGTATGCGTTTGTGTGTGCGTCTGTGTCTGTATGTGCATGTGCGTCTCTGTGTCTGTGTCTGTCTCTGTGTGCGTGCGTGTGACAGCGTCGTTTGGTTGGGAATGAACACTTGCCTTTCCAGGTGTGCGCTCTTGCACTTGTGTGCTTTTGATACCACTCTGCGTTGCCCTTCACACTCTAATGTCATGGACAATAATGAAATGGTTGATAGGGCCTGCATGACACGGGCAACATCTCTGCGATTCAGCGCACGTGCGATGCGTTTGGCGTGCACGACTTCCACACGATTCGTCGCTTCCCCATGGATCGCATGAAGCAGCACCGGCACGTGAGCAAAGGCGCCGACAAATGGCTGCGCGTTCATCGCTGGGGATCGACAGGGGATTGCATGGCGCACCTGCGCCAGCATGGATACAGAATAGCCGTGACCGCTGTTGCCGATGACAGCAGCAGCAACCACGCCAGTGTCACAGACTTGCACGCCCTTGAACTTGATCAGCCGACGGCTTTTGTGTTTGGCAACGAGGTTGCAGGCATCTCAACCCAGGTGTGTGGTGTTGTTGTTGGTGGTGCTATGGTTGTGTGCGTTAACTTGTGTTGCGGGTAGCTGTGAATGTTTGCTAGGTCTGGGTGTGGTTGCACGCGTGTTGTATGTATGTCACTGCGGGGATGCGTGTTTGCGCTGTCTTGTGTTTCGATCTTTGACATCCCATTTGATGTGACCACCTGTGTTTGGTGCATTATTGTGCGATTTGCATCAACACAGGCACTGGAGGAGGCGGATGTGTTGGTGCAGATTCCACTGGTCGGTTTTGTGAGCGCACTGAATGTCTCTGTGGCTGCAGGTTGCGTACTTCACCACGCAACCCTTCAACGCCGACGCTTCGTACGTGCGTCTGTGCCTGTGTGTGTGTGTGTGTGTCTGTCTGTCTGTCTGTTTGTCTGTCGGTCTGTGTGTCTGTGTGTGTGTGTGTGTGTGTGTGTGGCTGGCTCACGCGCAAGCTTCTTGGTTCTGCTGTATGCTTGTTATCAACCTGTTCAATGGCACCCCTTGCCGAGCACCCTCACCACAATCTTCCCCCACGCACCGCTACTGGCTGCAGCAAGGGGACGATGGCGGTGTCATCAGCGAGGACGAGGCGCTGGCGAGGATGACGACAGAACTGTTGCTACGGTCACTGGGCGAAAAGGACGCCGCAGACGCCGTCAACGACGCCATACACGATGCTGCTTCCACTCGCTCACCTCAACAACACCACCAACAGCAGCAACAGGAGGAGGAGGAGGAGGAGGAGTATGAACGACCATCACCTTCACCACTCACCTCCTCCTCTTCGTCGTCGTTGTTGCCTTTCGATCTGGCAACGCTCGTCGCCCACAACAACAAACACCAGCGCCAGCGCCGATGAGTCATTGCCGACGATTCATGTGAACCATAAATAAAATTCTATTGATGACTCATCTTGCCTGAAGTTTGGTGACTTGCCCACATCCAACACGCACGACATTCACCGCACAGAACCGCAGACACACAGACACACAGACACGAACAACCAGCAAGCAAGCCGCGACAGCATCACCCGCTCCGCACACACACACACACACACCACGTACATACACAGCCACCAACAACACCAACAAGACCATTTGACAGGCGCAACCCAGCAACCATGTTTGGCGGAGGCGGAAAGTACAGCTCGGTACGCTTCTTCGCTGTTCTTCACCACCATGATCTGACTCAAACTGCCACAACGAATACAAACATGCTTCGTCTTTGGTGTTGAGATGGTGGATGCGTGGTGGTGGTGTGACCACGCGTTTCCAACATCGCGTGCATCCCTCTGCATCCTTTTTTTTTTTTGAGTCCAATCCGTACGTTGTCTTATCGGAGCCATGTTGATTGTGTCTGTCTTCCACAACACGCTAGATGAAGCTGAAGATGAACTTGAAGCTCGCCATCACGCGGCTTCAGCTTCTGGAAAAGAAGCATGGTGGGTTTCGTGCTGCCTGTTCTGCGTGCAAGCTGGCTCTCTTGTTTTGCCTGAGTAGTTTTTGCTGACCAGCATCTGGTTTCCTTGCTCAACTCACCCACTTGCGCCTGTGCCTTTTGCTGCTGTTGTTGCACACACCAGACAACGCAAGTGTTCTTGCAAGGAAAGAGGTGGCAACCCTTTTGGACAACAACCGCGTTGAGCTGGCAAAAATCAAGGTTCGTGCTGCGGCTACATGCTGCACCAACAAGCAGCATCTCGTCCACGTGTGCCGATGCCACATGAACGGCTGTTGTTCCTTTTTCCACGCGTGCTTGTCTTTGCGATGCCATGCTCGAGTGTGCGCAACTCACATTCATTCTTTCCTTCCTTCCCTGTTCTTCCTTCCTGTCCTTCCTGTCCTTCCTGTCCTTCCTGTCCTTCCTGTCCTTCCTGTCCTTCCTTCACTGTTGCATTCATGTGCACGCACACAGGTTGAACAGATTATCCGTGATGACTATTATCGGGAAGCGCTTGAGATTCTTGAGACCTACTGCAGCCTTGCTCTCGCTCGCTTTGGCCTCATTGAATCCGTCCAGTACGTTTTGCACTTTGTGTTGCCTGTGTCTGTGTGTGTGTGTGTGTGTGTGTGTGTGTGTGTGTGTGTGTGTGTGTGTGTGTGTGTGCGTGCGTGTGTGTGTGTGTGTGCGTGTGTGTGTGTGTGTGTGTGTGTGTGTGTGTGAATAGGGATGCCCTTCACGTGTCACACGTCACACGCCACACGCCACACGCCACTCGCCACACCCTACGCGTCACACGTCACGCGTCACACGCCACGCGTCACTCTTGCTCGTCTGGCGACACGCTTTCCCCCCCCCCCCCTTCCCTGCCACAACTAACGCCGTGTGTGTGTCCATCTCCCCCTTCCCTCCTGAATACACGCGTGCATGAGCAGGTACTGCGATCCCGGCATCCGCAAGGCGGTGTGCACCATCATCTGGGCCACGCCGCGCGTGTCCGTGGACGTGGTTGAGTTCAAGGAGCTCTCCAAACAGTTTTCGCTGCGCTACGGCAAGGAGTTTGCAGAGGCTGCCCGCACCAACAGCACAAAGGAGGTGTGCCCGCGCGTCAACCAGAAGCTGAGCTTTGTCGTGCCAGACACAAACCTGGTCATTGGCTACCTGGAGGCCATTGCAGCAAAGTACAACGTCGACTGGAAGCCCTCCCCATCAGACTTTGACACCGTGCGTCTGCCCTGCTCCTGTGTTTTGTGTGTGTGCACGTGTCTGTGTGTCTGCCTGTGTGTGTGCGTGTCTATGTGTCTGCCTGTCTATGTGCCAACCGAACAACCCACTCGCATTCGCCATTGCTCTCACCACCCTCACCATGATCATCATCATCATCACCACCACCACCACCACCTCCTCCTCCACCTCCTCCTCCTCCCTTCCTCCTCCTCCTCTCTCCCTCGTGCAGTTTCCAGACACCGGCCCCAGCAATGGCGGTGGCGGCGGCGGAATGCAGCAGCAGCAGCAGCAGCAGCAGCAGGGCACCCCGCCCGTTGATCTCATGAGTGCAGACCTCGACTCCCTCAACCTCAACTTCCCTGCCCCCTACGGCGCCCCGTCCCCCGACGAGAAGCCAAGGCCACAACAGCAGCAGCAACAGCAGCCACAACAGCCGCCTCCCCAGGCCAGCTATGCGTTCCCACCACCGCTCTCCGCCACACCGCAGCCGTCATATCCGCCCGCGCAGCCGGCGCAGGACTCGAGCTCGCTGGCATTTCCCCCGCCACCACAGCAGTCGTACCCGCCCACAACCGCATCCCACGCCCCTCAGCAGCAGCAGCAGCCGCCACAGCAACAACAGCAACAACAGCCATACAGGCCGGGCCAGTCGCTGCTGGACCTCCCTGATGTTCCCGATGCGCAGCCGCCCTCATATGGGCAGGCCTCGGCCCCGCCAAACGGCGATGCCAGCTTTGATCCGTTTGTGGACGCATTCCCCTCCGTCCCAGACTCCAACAACAATAACAGCAACAACAACAACAGCGGTGGCAACGGTGGTCTTGGAGAGCTGCATCTGCCGGACCCGCCGTCCACCAACAACAGCGGGCGCAGCGCTGATGTCCCGCTTGACTACGACAGTCTCACGCGCCGGTTCAACGCCCTGCAGAAGAAGTGATGGTGTTGCGTGGTTGATTGATTGATGATTGTGGAGGTGGTGGTGGTGGTGGTGGGGACAGTGGTGGCGGTTGTGAGGAGACGTGGGGAGGGGGGCGTTCTGTGCATTGACCCGAGTGAGCTTCTGTTTGTGGTTATTCCCAATGCTGACCTCCCTCTGCCATGATGATGATGATGTGTGTGTGTCTGTCTGTCTGTGTGTCTTACTCTTGTGCCCTTGTCTGCCTGCTCGCGTGCCCTTGCCTTTGGGTTTCATCGTCTCATCTTGACAGCAAATTGACTGTTGGTTTTGTACTTTTCCAAACGAAAGAACAAAGAAAGCCTCCTGTAACAAACGTAATAACACCGCCAAATGCCAAAGCTAATCAACACATACACATACACACACGCGCACGCTCGCACACACATACACACGCACTCACACACACACACACACACACGCACTCACACACACACACGCACTCACACACACACACACGCACTCACACACACACACACACACACACACACACACGCACTCACACAGTGCCCGGTTATGAGCTATTGCCGCTGCACACACGGGAACGTGATGGTGACAGCAGGGTCGGCATCCAAGCCAGCCTGCAAAGAGAGACAGGAATGACCATGATGGTGGTGGTGGTGGTGGTGAGAGGACAACGCAGTCCAGCGGCATGTACACACACACACACACACATCACATCACATCACATCACTTCGCTACATGACGCATGGCGCGTACGGTGATTGACTGGCCGGGGGCGATGGGGCCGACACCGCTGGGAGTTCCCGTGAGGACGAGATCTCCGCGCTGCAGCGTGAAGATGCGGCTGATGTACTGGCGATGATGATGGTGATGGTGATGATGATGGTGATGGTGGTGGTGATGATGGTGGTGATGGTGATGGTTTGGGGTGAGAGTGAGAGTGATAGAGAGTGGGGTGAATGGCAACGACCGTCGTCGTGGTCATCAGCACGGACGGTCGTCATCGTGGTTGAGGAAAGGCGTGTTTGAAGACGAACAGGTTGGACTGAGAAGGAGAGGGATGAGAGACAAAGAGGATGGGAGGGGTGGGCAGCGTGGGAACGAAAAGGAGACACACGATGGTCGATGCGAGGAGCTGCGAGCAAGTTGTGCAAGTGTAGGTGGTGGACAAGGTGGAGAAGCGAGAGCACACGCGCTCGACATACGCTGATGAGTGTTGGGATGGAGAAGATCATGTCCTTGGTGTTGCCGTCCTGACGCATCTCGCCATCCACGGAGCACCAGAGACGGACGTTTGACGGGTCTGCCACGCGCTCCTTCGCAACGACATCGCTGATGGGACAGAAGGTGTCATAGCCCTTCATGGTTCAAAGCAGTGCTGGATGAGCGGGGGGTGTAAGGGATACCAAGACAGCGTGCGGTGCACGTACGTTACGTGTTTGCATACCGTCAGTCAGCTCACCTTTGCAACAGACCACGGGTGTCCTTTCTCCTTTGCCTCCTGCAAGTGGGCAGGCACGTCGACAGGTGAATGTGTGTGTGTGTGTGTGTGTGTGTGTGTGTGTGTGTGTGTGTATGGATGTGTGTGAGGGAGTGCGTGCACATGTGCGTGACGCTCACGTACCTGCTGAAGGTTGCGCGCCGTCATGTCCAATGCCAACACATACCCTGTGCGAATGAAGGAATGAAAGGTGTTGTTGATGCGATTGCATGAGAAAAGCCTGGAACAGGAGTCGTAGACGAAGAACAAACGTGGCTAGATCTCCAATGCACACGCACACACGCACACACGCACACACGCACACACGCACACACGCACACACGCACACGCACACACGCACACACGCACACACGCACACATGCCATATCTTACCGTCAACGAGCTTCATGGCGTCGGCCTCTGCCACATCGCGTCCCGTGTCGCCAATAACGACGCCCAACTCCACCTCATGGTGCAGCTCTGTAACCTCGCGCGGAATCTGCGATGCAGCACAAGCAGCGACAACTGGTAGATGAGAAGATGCACAACCACAACACACACACACACACACACACACACACACACACACACACACACACACACACACACACACACACACACACACGTACACGCGCATCACAGACTCAGGTGTAGTTTGTGTACCTCGATGGGCCCGTCGCCTGGCAGCAAGAGCGAAGAAGGGGGCTTCAAGAACAGCATGGGCTTGGACGGCACCGCATTGCCAAGCTCTGCCGCGTGTGCCCTTTGAGCAGGCAGGCAACAAGGCGACAAGGCGGTGAGTGGTGTGCACTGACAAGCCTGAGCCACACACAGAGCAAGGCGGCAGCGCAAGAGTGTACATACTTGTAGTTGCGGCCCACGCACACAATCTTGCGGCACGTATCCACCAGCCTTCGTCCGCTCATCTTCGTCGTTGTTCAGTGTTCTCGACTCTGCTTGCTTGTTGTTGTTGTTTGTTTGTTTGTTTGTTTGTGTTTGGGTGGCTTGTTTGTGCGTCTTGTTGTTGTCGCGACGACCACCACTGTGTCAAACCACTGAGTTGATGTTGATGCGCTTTGACTCACGTTCAGTCATGATATCACATCATCATCGTCATCAATAAACAAACAACATCGTCGCCATCATCATATCATGGTGGTCGTGGTCGTGTGAGTCGTAACACAACAACAGCAACAGCAACAGCAGCGGCACATCCGTGGAGGAGGTGATAAGACGCAATCCAACCCACAAAGACGCAAAAGGAAAGGACGACAACGCAAACGATTCCAAACAGCACGAGAAGAAGCAAGCGGCAAGAAAGGGAGCCAGCCCTCATGTGTACACACGCGCAACACACGCACACGCTCGCAAACGCGCAAACACACACACACACACACACACACACACACACACCACTTCACCATCATTGTATCATCGTATCCGCCATCATCGCATGTCGCAACAACACAGACAGTAGCAGAGCAGATCAAAAGCGGGAAAGGAAGCGAGTGAGGGTACGGGAAAGGAAAAAACCAGAACAGCTATGGTGGGGTCAGTTGGATAGTTGTCGTGAAGCAGGGAGAGAACGGGTGGTGCTGTCGATTATAACAGCGTACAGCAGCCCTTCTTCGCTGTTTCAGAGGACGAGGACGTGCCCTGGCAATCCAACAAGGTTTGAATGGCGCGGCACGTGAGTGAGAGCACGGGCGTCCAAGGAAACGCACGCATCCGCTCACAATTGCCACCTGTACACGCACGAAACACAAAGAACCTGACACAAGCACACAAGCACACACACACACATGTTCTCCAACACACACACGTGCGCGCACACATTCCAACACACACGCGCGCACACGCGCCACACACCAGCATGCAACAACGCGTGCAAACGTTACCTCCATGTCAATGTCAGCGTAGTCTGCACCGGCATCGTTGGCGCCTGGCTTTGCTGCTGTCGCGTGAGCACTGGCACCATTTGCGCCCTCGTTCTGATTCTTCTTGGACCCGTCACCACTGCTGCCAGTGTTGGCGTCGTTGTTGGTGTTCCCGCCTGTCTCTGATGAGACCGACTCCGCGAGCGGCGCCGGCGGCTTGCTCGATGAGCCCTGTGTAGGTGATTTGAAATATTGTGTTTGTGTTTGTGTTTGTGTTTGTTTGGGGTGGGAGTGGTGCCACATAGGCAAATGCAAAGGTGCGCGCGTGTGCATGCGGTGAGCATTGTGTGAGGGAGTGTCTGTCTGTCTGTCTGTCTGTGTGTGTGTGTGTCTGTGTGTCTGTGTGTCTGTGTGTTAGTCTGTGTGTCTGTGTGTCTGTGTGTCTGTGTGTCTGTGTGTGTGTGTCTGTCTGTCTGTCTGTCTGTCTGTCTGTCTGTGTGTGTCAAAGTCTACAGCAGTTGCCGATTGCACACTGGTTGCTGCTCGAGGGCAGCAAACCAGGACGCGTCACGCACCGCAAATTCGAGCGTTGCGTAGACAACGGGCTCGTAATGAACGCGCTTGTCCCGCTCAACCCATTCGCTCTCGCGTCGTGGCTTCTCATTAAACCGGATCTCAGCATACATCGACTGGCAACAGGGGACACAGCAAAGGGCGAGGGAGGGAAGCAGTCGTGGGATGGATGGATGCAAGAAGGGGGTGAAGTGAGGTGAGGGGAGGTGCATAAAGCCAGGAGGGAAGTTGGGGTGGTTGCAGTGGTGCACGTTGCACGCAGCAAGGGGGGGGGATGCTGAGGATGGGAACACAAAACGGCGTGCAAATAAAGATGCACAGGTACACCCAACACATGCACATTGTGGACACAACGAACGCAGCCAACACAGCAAACACAGCCAACACAACAGGTACGCCCGACACGACAGACATACGCAAGGCAGCGCAGCAACACGCACGCACCTCGGCGAGTTTTGCCTCCTGCTTGGCCTCGACCTTCTTGATGTCCGCACGGGAGATGGTCTTGCGCTTGATTGTGCTGTTTGGCGTGCGATTGTCACGACAATGATGGTGATGGTTGGTTGGGGGGGTGAGGATCGAAGAAGGGTGATGTGGTGCAGACTTGGAAGAGCAAACGATCACGCCCATGTAGGTACAGCAATGAGTGTGCAACCAAAGTATAGTATGGCTGATTGCGGCACCACGCAGATGCCACCACCACGACCATCACCATCACCATCACCATCACCACCATGATCATCATCAGGGCACCTTGCGCTGCGTGGCCTCATCTCCTGCAAGTCCTCGGCCTTGTTGTCCTTTGACGGCGACTGCGGCGATGGTGCAGCCACGCAGCAAACAGCAAGTGGAGGTAATGCACATGAGAAAGGGAAAGGGGCGAAAGGAGGAGACGCAGCAACAAACACACGCACGCACACGCACGCACACACAAAAAAAATGTACGCACGCACATGCACACACACACACACACACCGATCCCGTGTGCACGTGACTGGGAGGGCACCTCGATTGCGTTGATGGCGCGGATCATGGTGGGGTCCTCCGTCATGTGCAGTGGAGGCTCCTTGTGGCGGTTCAGCTTGTGGGGATCAGCCTTCGCCTTGGCAAGCTCACTCACAACCTTGTACTGCACGGCATGCACAGCGCGGGTTTTAGGGTGGGGAAGAGGTGAAGCAAGACAATGGTGAGAGTGAGTGCTGTACGGTCGCACAAGTGCCCCACACCCTCACACTCAAAACACATGCACTTTCACACACACACGCACACACACATGCACTTTCACACACACACGCACACACACACGCACGCACGCACGCACGCACGCACGCACGCACTCACACACAAACACACGCACAAACACTCAAGGAACCTGTTGGAAGAACGCCGCGTAGTGGAGAGGGGTGTTGAGTTCCTGGTCCTGTGCGTTGACATCTGCACCTTTGGCGATAAGCAGCTTGAGAGGTTCAATCCACCCGTTGCACGCCGCAACATGCACCTGTGCACCAACAGGCAAGCATACACACATGAGCACACATGACAAAGGGCCGTTGCACACGCCAACCAATTCGGCAGAACGAAGCACCTCCAGCAGCAACACACACACACACACACACACACACACACACAAACACACACACACACAAACACAAACACAAACACACAAACACATACACACAAACACACAAACACACAAACATGCACGCGCACACGTGTGTGAGCGCACCAGGGTTGCACCGTCTGCATCTGGCTCGTTGATGTCGTTGCCCTTCTCAATGACGGAGGAGACGTATTCCATAAAGTCATCGGCAGGTTTGCTCTTCAGCTGCTCGTGCTCCCCTTCGCTGATGCCTGTGGCAGGTACATGCAGGCGCACGGTACATGGTGGGTGTGTTGAAGCGACAGGCGACGGCGCAGGAAGGGTGCATGGGTGCGATTGGTGTGGCGCCAACAGAAGCACAGCGACCCCATACATGTATGTGTCATATGCACACAAACACAAACACACACAATACACACGCGTGTCGTATGCACACGGTACGTGCACTACACCAGCTGACTCCCGGGCTCACGCCACGATTGCATCGCCACCACCGACAAGAGCAGCGCCGCAGCGACCGACCTGCTTTCTCCATCTCGGCCAAGAGAAGATCCCGCACTTTGTCTTCGTCAGCCAAGTCGATGGCAAGCTCACCATCCGCCGTCACTGTTGTTGCACACATACACACACATGCACGTGGGTGGGACCCTGCGTTATCGCGGTGCACAGCACACACACACACACATCACGCGAACTCACAACACACAAGCTCGCACGCACATACTCACAACACTCACAATACATGCACAGCACACACCACCACAAAACAACGCCACACCTGCTCTGAGATCAGCGCCGTTGTTGATGAGGAGACGGGCGATACGCCACTGCCCGCACGCGGCGGCCGTGTGCAGCGGTGTCCACCAGTCCATGTCCTGACACCCAATGCCATCGCGACAGTGGTGGTGATGGTGGTGGTGTTTGTTGGGAGTGTTTTGTGATGGTGCTCATGTGTGAGCGTACAGTAACAGGGATGTGCGCTGTGGAACGAGAACATGGTGGTGGGGCAGTGGCCAACACGGGGAGACTGGCTTTTCACTCCAAACATGTGCACACACACACACACGCACGCACACACACACACACACACACACACACACAAAATGCCGACGTACTCTTGCGTTGACGTGCGCGCCCGATCTGACAAGCAACGTGGCCACCTTCACTGACCCTTCGATGCATGCCTTCAACATGGAAAGCCAATGCCAACGGGGTGAGAAGGTGCAGTGGTGAAGCGAACAGTAGCACGAGTCGTGGTGACCAACCATCAGGCGCACACGCGCGCGTGCGTGGGACGTGATCTCGCGCAGGCCCACATGGCCGCACATACGCAAAGCTCCACACACACACACACACACACACACACACACACACACACACACACACACACACACACACACACACACACACACACACACACACACACAGCTCATGCGTGTTTGCTTACCGTGTGAAGTGCGGTGACACCTTCAGCGTTGCTCGAGTTTACGTCCGCGCCCTGGTCGATCAGCTCTTGCACTGCAAGCACAAACAACCACAACGCAACAACAGTGAGCCCATGCAAGCCACGCACACAAGCCACGCACACAAGCCACGCACACAAGCCAAGTGTGTGTTCAGTCAAGGCCATTCCCTGTTCCCCGTGAAGATTGCAGGGTACACACGTTCATCAATCTCATTGGTGAGGCTGGCATCGGCAGCAGTGCTGAGGAACACGGGTGTCGCTTCAAAATCCACCTGCCAAATGAAATTCAAACAAGCGTCGGTAAGCGAGGGTATCACGGAATGAGCATCAAAGGGCCCTGCCAGACCAAGAACGTTGCGCGTTGCCCTTGTGGGATTGCAAGCATGCATGTTGGCTCTGGTGGCATTACTCAGAGGGTGTGGAATGCACCCACGAGGAGACACACACATACACACACACGCACGTACACACACACACGCACACGTACTCACACACACACACACGCAAGACGGCTTGGGTGAAATGGGAGGAGGAGAAAGACAAGACAGCAGCTGACCTTGACGGCGTCTCTGTCCTTTGTTAATTGAGCAGGGTCATATGTGAATTCCAGCTCCTTGCCCTGATGGTTCACAAACACTGTTGGTTCTCCCGCAAGGTACTTCTCCAGCCGATCCAGCTGTTCCTTGCGGCCTTGCTTGGCCGCCTCAAGCGCATTCATCTTTCCCGTTCTTCTCTCCTTCTTCTGCTTCTTGAGTCAAGGTGAGAGCGATGTTGGGGTGTCTGCCGAGGCGATGGATGGCTGGGCGGTGGGGTGAGCGGCTGGGCGTGGTTGTTGTTTGGCTGTTGTTGTGCGCGGTGCTTGGTTGTTCCCATCTGGTTGCACAACAGCGCCGAAATATTGGTGGAAACATCATCCAATTTTCTTACACAAAAGCCGTACACGCGCAAAACACAACCAGACGCAGCTGTTGTATGTGCGTGCCACGATCTCCATCCACACACACACACAAACCCAAGCACAACATGGTGGTGTGTTGTGGAGGCTGTTTGTTGTTGTTCATGCTGTTGTTGCGAGTTGTTCTTGTGGTTGCAGGTGACTCTTGCTGATTGTCGACGAGCCAATGATGGAAACCACCACCACTGATATGAAACAGAAAACACCATGAAGACGATGTATTAAACGCACAAGCACAAGCCACACAGACAAGCACCCACAAGACACAGGCACACGCACGGGTGCACACGGAGTATGGGATATGTGTCTCTGTGTTACGAGGAGATGTTGATGTTGAACGGGTCATTCTCCCCTGGCGGGACGATGATCTTGTCCTTGGGCAACAGCTCAACAGGCAGCGTTGGGATGGGGAGGAAGCTGGGCGGCTTGTACATGGCATCACGAATCTTCACAATCGACTGCAGGTGTTGGGAGGAATGGGGAGGAAGGGGAAGAGCAGAAGGAGAGGGCGTAAACGTGTGTGTGTGTGTGTGTGTGTGAGTGCACAGACGAGAGGGGAAACGTACGGTACATGTGTGTTGGGGCGTGTGTGTGTGGATGCGAGGATGAAAGGGATAAAGCACACGTGCGATGGATGGAATAGCAGAATCAGGGAATTCCTTGAGTGGGCTTGCATACATGACAGGTGTTCGACGCAGAACACCCCAAGCCTGTTGTTGTCGTTGTTGGTGTTGTTGCAACTTACGTTCTTAGCGCCAGGGGCAGAGCCGACCACATACAGGAGGTTGTAACGCGTATCAATCTGGTACACCTGTGCACAGAGGAAGACAATCACAGAAACAACACGTGCATGTCAATCACATTGCGATACAAGCATGCATACGCACGCACACACAAGTACCCATACGCACATGAAACAGCAAGCAGAACAGCGCCACGCCCAACATGGACTGGCTGCCGCTGAGTCTCATGAGTGCATTGTATCGCGCACACAATGCCTCACCTGCAGGCCGAACTGGTACCGCTTGACGCCTCCCATGCGCCCTTCCATGCGCTTGCCTTTCCACACGCGTCCAGGATCCTGTCATCGTTGCCAAGGAGAAGAGCCACGTAAGGGAATGCGAATGTGTGCGTGTGCGTGTGTGTGCGTGTGTGTGTGTGTGTGTGTGTGTGTGTCTGTCTGTCTGTCTCTGTCTCTGTCTCTGTCTGTGTGTGTGTGTGCGTGTACGTGTGTACGTGTGTGTGTGTGTACGTGTGTGTGTATGCGCGCTTGGCGTGGGGAGTAGTGCCAAGCAAGTTGTGGTAAGGCGAGCAAAGCGCGGTATTGGATGGAAGAGCGCGGGTCAGCACCCAACACCCATATGCACCAACACGCTTTTGCCAACTGACCTGACCGCCACCGAGACCACCGGCTTTTCTGTGCGTGAGTGTCACACCATGCGATGCAGGCATGCCCTTGAAGTTGTGCCTCTTCATGACACCCTGGAACCCTTTGCCAATCCTGACAAGGACAAAGCAGGCGACGGGTGAACGTGTGTGTGTGTGTGCGTGCGTGCGTGCGTGCGTGCGTGCGTGTGTGTGTGTGTGTGTGTGTGTGTGTGTGTGTGTGCGTGCGTGCGTGCGTGCGTGCGTGCGTGCGTGTGTGTGTGTGTGTGTGTGTGTGTGCGTGCGTGCGTGCGTGTGTGCGTGCGTGCGTGCGTGCGTGTGTGTGTGTGTGTGTGTGTGTGTGTGTGTGTGTGTGTGTGTGTGTGTGTGTGTGTGTGAGGATGTCACACATAGGGAATGATAAGCCAACCAGCTAGCTAGCCAGCCAAGTCCCCCTCCACAACCAGACGCGTGAATATGCAAGGCACCCTTACGTTACGCCTTGGACGTCCACATATTGCCCGGGAATGAAGTGCGAGCAGGAGATGTGTGTGCCTGTATCGGCGAGGCGCAGTGCATGATGCCGCACACAATGTAAGCCAACATTGAATCCATTGAGTGAATGCAAGCAACGGAAAGAATGGCACACGCAAGCGAAAAACAAACACGTGCAAGCCGGAAGGCGCATACGCAAGAAGAAAGGTACACGCACACGCACTCACAAGCACACAAACACACACGTACGCACACAAACACACGCGTACGCACACACACACGTACGCACACAGACACACACGTATGCACACAGACACACACATGTACGCACACGTACGCACACACACCGATGGGAAGGATGCAGTCCTCGGTCACACGAAACTCGGCAACGTGCTGTTTAGGCGGCAACTTGTGCTTCCTGAACTGGCCCAGAACAGGCTTCTTGACCTTGCGCGGCTCCAGGTTCACGGCGCCCAACCTCATTGCGCTGTACCCATCCCGGTCCACCGTCTTGTGCTCAACAACCTGCAAATCCTCAATCTAACACGAGCAGCGTGATGATGACGGAACGGCCAGTGGTGTGCGGGTGAACAATCCGATAGGATGCTGCAATTTGCACACACACGCACACACAGTCATGCACACGCACAACACACACACGCACGCACACGCACGCACACGCACGCACACGCACGCACACGCACGCACACGCACGCACACGCACGCACACGCACGCACACGCACGCACACGCACACAGGAATCGACTGGCGCACCTGGAATGCTGTGAGAGGGACACGTTCACCCCACAATGTGAACGTCTGTGTCATGCCCAGCTTGCGTGCGAGGATGCCCGTGCGCTTCGTTTCCGCAGCGTTGTAAGAGCGCAGGCTGTTGTGCAGGTGGGAGGGGGCAATACGCATGCAAACATCAGCATACACGTGGCACTGAAGAATGAGCGCACTCCTCGACGAATGCGGCACGCCTTGTAGCCTCTCACACGCTCAAAGACACCCCATCACACAAGTGTGTATATGAGCACGCCACCGCCACTACAACCACACTCACTCACATACAGAATCACACTCCCACTCACACCCGCACTCACACCCACACTCACACTCACACACTCACACTCACACACAGTATCACATGAGAAGTACACGCACTATTTTGCGATGGCTGCCGTGCGCTCATCGTGCTCTCCCTCTGCTGCATCTGCGCTGCTGTCAAGGGCCACCCTCGTTGTGCTCAGAAACCGGCCTTGCCTCGCCACCACAGCTGCCAGTCGCGGCAGCACCTGCCTCTGCACCGCCACCACCATTCTCAGCTTTTGAATGTCTCTCTCTCTCTCTCGTGTTGTCGCTGGCCAACAATGTGGTTGTGGAATATTCGCCATATCTTTCTTCTGCCAATATGGCGGGAACGTTTGAAGCAGCAGATGCGGCGGAGAAGCACTGCTGTGGCATCATGACGGGTTGGGGCCAGCAAGCAACCTGAACGTGTGCATGAGTGTGTGCATGAGTGTGTGCATGTGTGTGTGTGTGTGTGTGTGTGCATGTGTGTGTGTGTGTTTCCAAAGTCCCCGCCAATCAATGGCAGTGAACACCTGACACGTCCACTTGATCACATTTGGTTTTGGCGGTCATTTGCCTTGGTCGTAAGAGGCGCTGGATGCAGGTACGCGGTGGTGTGTGTGTGTGTGTGTGTGTGTGTGTGTGTGTGTGTGTGTGTGTGTGAAAGTTTGTGTTTGTGCTGGTACTTCATCTCCTGCTGTTTCCCTTGTTGTGAGCACTAACCAAGCTCATGCCTGTGCGTGTCTGTGTGAGTGTGGTTGTTCTTCTTTCGGTCACTTTGCGCATATGTGTGCCCTGTGTACTCACATGCTCTCACCACTTGGCTTACACGCTCGCATTTTCCGGAATCGTGTTGCTCCTCCTTCGCTCTTACAGTGAACAACAAACGGCGACGACGACGACGACGACAACAACAACAACAACAACAACAACAACAACAACAACAACAACAACAACGCCTTGGTTATCTCCACACCTTCAAGACATAGGCAAGCATGACGCTGGGACAGGAGATTGACATCATCTCAATTCACATGCGGGATACGGTCGCACTGGGTGCGGTGGTTGCCTGCGCGTGCTTGCTGCTCTACACACTCCTCCTTCGGAGAACAAGCTCAGCCACCAGGCATGGCACCCGCAACCCTCAAACCAAGGAAGAATGGACACAGCAGCTCTTGGTTCGTATTCGGCCCTTGCACCTCTATGCTTCTTGTCCTGCAATGCTGCTTGGTGGCTGTCAATTGCAGCTCATGCCAACAACGTATGAGATGCTTGTTTCTTTCATCGTTGGCGCCACTTTTCAAAACCGTGTGGCCTGTTTGAACCCAAGCATTTGCACCACCACTTTGCCGCCCGCCATCGCGTGTGGCCTGCCGCCTTCATTTCCAAGATACACACACACAGACACACAGACAGACACACACACACACCTATGTGTTCGTTGCAACTCTGCGTTTGCTCGCCCGTTTTTAACCTCTGTTGGACCAACAGGATGCTTGTTTCGCTTGCGACTTTGAGCTGGTTGAGAAGGCGCTTCAAAACGGCGCAGATGCGACAGCTATGACCGCCCATTTTGAAGATGGTGAGATGTTGTTTGCTTCTAGTGATTCACGTCAAGTTTCTCGCGCCAGAAACGGCTGTCACATGCAACCTTGCAACGCGCTGGCTTGCTTGCTCGGTGAAAGCCCTGTGCATATACATCTGTGTGCAAGTATGTACGTATGCGTGTTTTGTATGTGTGCATGTGCACATGTGTATGTGCATGTGTGTACATGTACACGAGTGTATACAGATGCACCTTCATCGCTGACCCGTGCCTCAATCTGCTTGACGATAACGTGTGCTATTCCACTTCATATGCAGCGCCAGTGTTGATTGTTTCGCAGGCGTGCCGCTACAGCAGTCTGGACCAGACTCAGGAGCCGTTCAAATTGCTTGATCTGCTGTTGGCCCACGGCGCAGACATCAACGCGCAAAACTACCGCGGCCACACGGTGAGTCATTGTGACAGATGTTACACATTACATTACGAACGAACAGGTGGGAGTTTGGATTTGAAAAAAGAGACGAACAGCTTGCATGAACCTTGCTGTGCAGCCGCATTTACACAATACACATTTACACATCCTCACATTCTCACAAAGCACGTTCGCACATTCACACATTCACACATGCTCACACCGTCACATCCTCACATCCTCACACCTACAATCCCACACACACACACACACACACACGCAGGCCCTGTCACAAGCGGCCAGCCGAGGTGACGAGAGCATGGTTGAGTACCTGTTGGAGCACGGCGCTGAGCGAGCTGTGAAGAACAGGCTCGGCGCTTCTCCGCGCCGCGTTGCGCGTGCACAGGGCCACACCAAGGTCGCCCGCATGCTGGAGTACTAAGCCTGGTCGCAGCTGCGCTGCCCACGTACGTTTCACTCCCCTCAAGAAACACCGCCCAAGAACAACGTACACCAAGATGCAGAGCACTCTCAGCCACGTCACGTCACATTGCATCAACTGTCTCTTTGTCTGTTGTCAATGCCCATGCTTTTATCGACAGCTGATGCACTGCATGTGTACAACCGTGCAAAGAGGGGTGAACAGCCCTGAAATCATCCATCACACTACCAAAACGACAAATACACAGACTCAAAGAAAGTGGCAGGTTCACCGCGAAAGAAGCAATCATGGACAGATGACGCTCACATTATGCACAAGCACACGAGCACAGGAGAAAACGCCTTGGGGGAATGAGAGAATGGCACAGATGACACAGAGAAACGCATGGGGGGCTGCTTCACGTGTACACATGCAAATATGAATCAGTTTGGTGACACAAGCTCGCTCTCGCGCTCGGTACCACTATGATTGGTGGCTGCGGCTGCCACGTGTCGCTTCTGGTACTGCAGTGCACACAGTTTGTACAGCGCCCGCGTTGCATGGTGGAGAACACCGCACAGCTCGCTTGTGCAGTCGTTGGTGGCCTGCCAAAGACACGCGCCACAGTGTGCATATGCGTGTGTATGTGCGTGTGTGTGTGTGTGTGTGTGCGTGTGTGTGTGTGTGTGTGAATACAACTGTCTGCAGCAGGAACAGCACCCATACGCGCGCAAATACACCGGCGAATGCAAACAAAGGCAAAAGGGGAATGCGCGCAACAAACCGAGCACGCAAAACCGAGCACGCAGCAGCCACCACTACAAAACCGCCCACCAACCTTGAGAGTGCTGCGTAGGCGATCTGCGCCTTGCAGCAGCTCCTGGGGGCGAACGTTCGCATCAAGCACAGCACCAAGTGCTGCGACACGCGACTGCGCCTCCCTCAGGGCAGCAGCAATGTCAGGGCTGGCCTCCGCCGCCACGCCACGCAGTGCAAGCTGGCGCGAGCGAACTTCCAGTGCCGTCAACACCCCACTGAACGAGGCATGGTATACAACGGGCAAGATAACACAACCTTCAGAGTGAGAAAGAGCGCAGCACAACCATCATGCTTTGCGTGTGTGTGTGTGTGTGTGTGTCTGTGTCGCTCTGTGTGTGTGTCTCTGTGTGTGTGTCTGTGTGTCTCTGTGTGGCTGTCTGGCTGTGTGTGTGTGTGTGTGTGTCTGCAGCCGAATGACATGAAATACACAACTCAAAAATACAACACACACTCACTGCAATGTCTGCTGAAGCTTCGACATAGCACCAGGCTCCGGTAAACGTTTGGCCTGACACACACGCGTAATCACAAGCGTGAGCAATGAGCAACGTTAGGCGGTCACAATGATACATTGCAGCCACGCTGCGTACACACGACACAACAAGCACACAATCCACGTGCACCACACACGTACACTTCACACAACACACACGTACACTCCACATGACAGGCACACATACCAGCGTGCGTGCTGCTGTGTCGACAGAGGCGTGTGCAGTCGCGGTTGCCTTGGTGACTGCAAGGCGTGTCACTTGCTGCTGAAGGCGCCCTGATTCATCACACACGTGCACGCAGCAAACATTGCACCGATAGCAACATCAGAATCACCTTCCATGCGCATCCACGCTGCAAGCGCAAGCGCGCACAACAAGCACGGCGGCAGCGATACCACATCCATGCAGGCAACAACATGCACTTCCCCCGCCCCACACAGACATACACACATACACACATACACACATACACACATACACACACATACAAACACACAATCTTCGTCCCATGCACACCAAGCACACGCACAGAACATGCATGCAGCAGCGCAACCACAAAGCATGACTTACCAACGTGGGATGCAGCCGTGCGAATGGCCTGCGTTGCCATCTGCTCCTGCTTGTGCATGGAGCGTTCTTGCAACGCAGCAATGTACATCCACTGCAAGAGATACGCGCGTGTGTGCAAGTTGCGCGCAACAGCAGACTCGTCCCCGACACCATGTGCTGCTATACCTGATGCGGATATCGACGTTGCCCTGCCACCACTACCACTGCCGCCGCGTCGTGTTGACCGACGGCTGCCCGACACCACATGCTGCGGTTTGGTCCTCACACCAGCAGCCGTGTGCTGCGATCGCTGCTGCTGCTGCTGCTGCTGTTGTTGTTGTTGTTGTTTTGCAGCTGCGGTAGAGGCACCAGCAGGCGTGGCGCTTTCCCGGCCCCGTTGTTCTTGTTCGCCTTCACGTGCCGCTCTCGCTGCTGATGCTGCTCCTCGTGCTGTTCTTGCTGCGGTCGTGCGTGTGTCTGTCTTCGATGCCACGTCCTTGGTCAGCGGCTGCCGGCCCCTCGTTGATGAGGAGTGAGGGAGAGAAACACGTCGCACGCCGCTGGGTCTGTTTGCCCCACTCCCTGCTGCCAACGCTGACGATGACAAGGGCACGCGCGCTCGCTGTGATGACGACGATGATGACGAAGGTGCTGGTGCTCGCTTCGTGGTGGGCTGGTGTGTCTGTCGTGCTGCTGCTGATGCCGCTTGTGTGCGTGCGCTTGTGCTGGCGCGACGTGCGCTGACCATAGACGCGTTCTGGCTGGCGGGCTGGAAGCATGCAAACGATGGTGCAAATTGCATGAGTGTCACCATGTGAGAGCAGCACGAGCGCGGAAATTGAGAGAGTTCGTGTTGTCAACATCCATCAGCGATGCCATCGATGGACTTTCTGTTTGCACACGGCAATGCCACTTCTGGAAACAGCTCCTCCCTAACGAACCTTCGTGGAGCTCATGTAACGTGACTGGACAGGGCGCGTCTTCAGCTTTGCCCGGCGCGGTTTCGCCGCGTCTGGTGCTGCGCAGTGCAACAGCCGTGACGGCAAACAAACAGCGATGCAATTGGTAAGATGCACAGAGGCAGCAGTTGATGTTAAGTGGAAAGCACAACGCAGATACAAACCCGCACAAAGATATAATAAACCGCACAGATGCAAAACTCCACAACGAAAAGGGCATGCACCGCGTTGACGAACGCGTGCCCGCGTTCGAGAACAACCCCCATTGCTGTTCTTCGCGCGAGCAGACCTTGATTGGCTGTTTGGGATGCGTCACTTGGTCCACGCGAGGAACGACGGTGCGGCTGCCGGGGCTGCTGCTGGGCTGCTGGTTGCGTTGTGAACTGCCGCTGAGCGTTCTCGCCGTCAGCTTGGCCTTGACCGCCCACAATCTCGCTCAAGTTGGCATCATCCAGACGATCAAACGCAGGGAGTACATCGTCTCCGTGGAACCGCAGCATGGGTTCATCAGTCAACTGCACAGGTGTACACAGGGTATGTGTGGGTGAGTGGGGTTGAAGTACTCAGTGGAAAAACAAAATACAAGTCCACTGTGTACGAGCGCAGGGCGCTTGCACAACAATGGTGTGCCTATCCAGCATAGCACATCATTAGCATGCGCACGCACGCGTGTCCCCCCCCCCCCCACACACACACACACGTACACGCACGCGCACACACGCATGCATGCACACACACACGCACGTACACACACACACACACGCATGCACACGTACACGCACGTACACGTACACACGCGCGCACACGCTGCACAAACCTTGGGTTGTTCCGGCGTGGCTTGAGGGGCATGGCGACGAGGCAGCTCCACGCCGCTCGTGGCTGTGTCTGCTGACAACTCTGACAGCGCTGATGCTGGTCGCGGGGTACTGGATTCAACTGGTGGTCCACCGCGGCCACTGAAGGGAGATTCCTCGGGGACACGCGCCCGCACCGACGACGAACCCGGCCTGCTTCATATTCAAAGCAAGCACAACCCATGTCACTGGTCGTGTAAGTCTTCATGCCTTCAACCTTGTCTGACAAAACGCAATCCAAACGCAATGCTGCAGACACAAGACACACACAGAGGAGTCACGCCCAACTATGCATTCGATCTCCTGCACCTGAGCGTGGGAGAGGCATTGGCATCGACGTTATGTAACCGTTGCCGGTGTGGTTCTCTTGGGTCTGCAACAGAACCTACTCGGCTGTACAGGTGCCGCTTATCCATCCTTTGAAGGACAAAGAACACACGCGCGCGCGTACAAGGTACAAATAGAAGAAGCACAGGAACTCGCCAAACCCAAGCGACAGCAGCAACACGGACGATGACGGGGTTCGGAAGATGTTCAAAGTTGACTGGGTGTGTGTGTGTGTGTGTGTGGGGTGTGTGTGTGTGTGGGTTTCAGTGGTGTGAGGGATGCAGCAGTGCTGTTGGGCTGCTGTTGGCCGTTGTAAGGAAGTTCGGAAGATGGTATGAAGATATACACAATTATCGTTGCCGGAGGTCTGCCGCGCACTTTTCAAAACAATGAATTCGCGTGATGGAGGCGATCCACGTCGCCGCGCGTGGCCATGCGCATGGGCCTGCGCAACACGGGAAAGGCACCACGTGCAGGAAGCACGCGATTCGTGTTGCCATGGTCCACGCATGCCACCAAGTGTACTGGAGCACTAGGAATTCGCCATTCAACACGCACCAAGCTGCCCCACCACATTCCCACAACATCAGCACTCTTCCACTGCAAGACTGCACACCACTTGCCCACTGGCGCCTGTCAGAAGAAGTGTGCACAACACTTGAGGGCAAACAGAAGACACTGCTCAGCAACACGCGCTTGTCAAGCAGCGCATATACGCACTACCCCAGCCCCTTTCCCGATCCCAAGGATACGCATTGCTGGGTAACCCGTGGCAATGTCACGCCCCATGCTTTTGCAAGCGGTGGTGGTCGCAGACTCCTACAACAAACGGTAAGACGCACGGCAACAGCGGTGCAGGGGTGATGCTAATATACACGCAGAAGCATGGACAGCGCTGTACTTGGTATCAGTACAGTTCACTGCGACTTGCAGCGTTCAGTCGTCTTCACAGCTGTACCTGTGCGCTGACCAAGTGCTTGAACAAACGAGCGCCGGTCATACGCGTTGCACAACTCCACATGTTTGTCCACGACCTCACCACTCACCATGTGCGGCCTTCCTGGCTCCTCTATACGTGTGTATGTATGTGCATGCGGCTGTTTCTCTCTTTCTGTCTCTGTCTCTCTCTGTCTCTGTCTGTCTCTCTCTTTCTCCCTCTCTCTCTCGGTCTCTCTCTCTGTCTCTCTCTCTTTCTCTCTCTCTCTCTCTCTCTTCTCTCTGTACACTTGTCAAAGGTTTGAGCCGTTGACACAGCAGACGCCACGCGCGCTCCTGCCTTTGTGCAACGTGCCACTCATCGACTATGTGCTGAAGTTTCTCCACTCAAATGACATTCAGGACGTCGTCGTTGTCGTGCGAGCTCACGCCGACCAGATCCAAGTATGAACGAAATTAAAGAACAAGCCACATGTCTTGAAGTTGTGCTGCACAGTCGTGGACGCCTGCAAATGCGTGTACGCTCATCAAACACTTCATACCTGTGCTATTCAACAGGAGCATTTGGAGCACGCACGCTCGCAGTTCAAGTCCATGAAGCTCACGTGCGTCGTCAGCCAAGGCAGCCACAACTTTGGTGACGCCCTCCGCGACTTGGAGACGCGCAAAATCATCAACTCACACTTCATCCTGGTTGGTCGGAACGACGCGCGCGTGCCTCTGTGCCAGGCCGTTGGGGCATAGAAACAAGCATGCGTGTAAAAAAGTGTACATGTGTGTGTGTGTGTGTGTGTGTGCCATTGCTGTAAGGGTATTGGAGTGTAATCAACAAACAAGCTGGAACGCTGACCATCTGTGCGCGCCGGTGTGTTCAGGTGACGAGCGACATCGTGTCCAACTATGACCTGCGTCCTGTCATCGAGGAGCACATGTGAGTGGACTGCACCGCACGTGTCATCATCGCCACCATCACCATCATCATCTGCTGGTGCAAGCACATTCACATGCACGTGTTTAACACACAACACACAACGTACACACAACGTACACACAACGCACACACAGCACACACTCCGCACACAGAGCATACAGAGCACAGGCCTTCTTTGTGGTTTTGTTCACCTCTTGCTTGCTTTGTGTTGTGTGTCTGCACGTTTGTCACAGTGCGCGTGCGGACAAGGACAAAGACTGCCTGATGACAATGCTCATGACGCAGTGCGATCACGAGCATCCAGTGCGCAGCATCGAGGAGGACACGTTTGTTGTGGTGGACTCTGAGGACAACAGGTGTGTTGTTGTTGTTGTTGTTGTTGTTGTTGTTGTTGTTGTTGTTGTGTGTTTGATTGTGTGTGATTGTGTGTGACTGTGTGTGCTTTTGTGTGCTTTTGTAGGAGGCGGTCGTCTGTGTGCATCCGTCCGTGTGCATGTGCGCGTGGCTGTGTGCGTATCCGTGTGCCTGTGGTTTTATGTCTCTGTTACTCTCTGTGCGCATCCGTTCGTGTGTGTGTGTGTGTTGTCGGGTTGGTTGTGCCTGCAGACTGCTGATGGGTTGCAATCATGCGGCCTTGCCTGTAATGTGTACACTTGTTTGCTGTTCTTCTTGGTACTGCTGCTACACACTGAATGCTGACTGCTGACTGCTGACTGCTGAACGCGTGCACAGGCTGCTGTACCTGGATAGCCCCGAAGACGGCCACATCCGCGTTCCCTTGGTGCGTGTGTGTGCATGTGTACCTGTGGATGTGCACATGTGTGAATGGATGTGCATGTGTGCACAAGAACATGTGCATGTGTGTGTGTGCATGTGCATGTGTGCACAAGAACATGTGCATATGCATGTGTGCGTGTACGTGTGCCTGATTTTGTTGTACACATGCGTTGCATGTTATACTTTTGTGTGTTTCCTGGTGTCAGGATCGTGTGATGGAGCGAAAGCAGGTGCAGCTGCGGTACGACTTGGTACAGAGCCACATCTTCATCTGCACTCCGCTGGTGAGCTGCTCTGGCTTTTGCATTTTCATTGTGTGACAGCATGTACACTGTCAGTGGCTGCCGATTGTTGGTATTGTATCATTGTGCATGTGTGGTATACGACGAGGCATGCTGCGTGTCGTGTTTGGATTGTAGCTGACATGCAATGTGCGCTATGTACGTGTGTGCGTGTGTGTGTGCGCAATATGTGTGTGTGTGTGTGTGCGTGCATGTGCTCTTTTGTGCATGAGCAGATGCTGATGCAGTTCCATGACAACTTTGACTACGCGAGCGTGTTTGATCTGATCCGCGGCGTCATCGACAACGAAGACGTCAGTGATAGCCGTTGCTGATTCGTTTGTGCTGCGTGTGCTGTGTGCTGCGTGTGTGTGTGTGCTGCGTGCGCGCGCGCGTGTGTGTGTGGATACTTCATGAGCACTTGCATGTGTCCTCTGTCCCTGTCTGTCATTTTGTGGTGCGCGACACGTCTGCGAGTTTGCTCAGTACGCCTGATTGACGTGCCGTTGACATGCCACCACGTGGATGCACACTGTGCAGATTGTTGGGTACAAGATCCACACGGCTGTGTCGCCCAAGTTCTATGCGACGCGGTGCGCAAACCTGACGTCGTAGGATGCGATGACGCAAGATCTGATGAACCGGTGGACGTATCCGCTTGTGCCCGATATGTTTGCGCCGAGCCACGATGAGCTGTACCAGTACAAGCGCAGCAACATCTATCTCCAGCCAGGCTGCATCCTTGGCAGGTGCGTGCATGTGTGTGTGTGTGTGTGATTGGTGGGTGTCGGGGTGTCTGCGGGTGTGATTGGTGGGTGTCAGGGTGTCTGCGGGTGTGTGCGCATGGGTGTGCATGCCATTTCTTGCTGTTGCTGAGTTCGGTTGTGAGGTGTTGCAGTTGGGATATTTTTGATGCGGGCACATTGGCTCGCGTGCGCGCTCATGTTTGTGGACTACACTTGCGCTCACTCACTCACCTACACACTCACTCACGTGCTCCTTCTCTATGCTGGTTGTGATGCTGGTGATGTGTCACACGCACTCATGCAATTATCTGCTTATATCCCATCGTATGTGTGTTTGACTTTTGTGTGTGTGTGTGTGTGTGTGTTTGCCTTTTGTGTGTGTGTATGTGTGTGTGTGTGTGCTCATAGACGGTGCAAGCTGCTTGGGTCGGTTGTGCTTGGGCCGGGGTGTGTTGTTGGCGAAGGGGATGGGGCAGAGACGACGCTTCGCGGCACAGTGCTTGGCAGGAACTGCACCGTCGGTGCGTGATGTCACGCCACACATGCACGTGTACTCAGTGTCACTGTGTGTTGGTGGACACGTTGTGCTGCTGGATTGCCAACTTGATTGCGTGCGTGTCGCTGTGACTGGGTCCGTGTTTGTTGCTGTGACTGGTTGTGTGCATACCAGTTTTAACCTGTGTGTGTGTGTGTGTGTGCGTTGTGTGCGTTGTGTGCGCGCTGTGTGCGTTGTGTGCGTTGTGTGTGCGCTGTGTGCTTGTTGAACAGGGTGCGGTGTGCGCCTGCGCAATGCATATGTGCTGGATGGGAGCACCATTGGCAACAACTGCAGCGTGGACCACGTGGGTTGCTTGCGCAGTGCTTTACTTTTGATGGAGGCCTGCTCCTTATGTGCTCTTGTGTTTGTGTACGTGCTTGTGGTCGTGCCGATATGCGAGCACATTGCATCTTGCGTTGTAGCTGTGCGTGTATGCATGGAATCTGGTCGTTTGGACGTGCACCAGCTGATGCTGGGCTTGAGATGCTGGTGTGTGACACGTGTGCAGGCGCTGATTGGACGCAACGTGAAGATCTGTGACGGCGTGGTGATTCCACACGGCTGTGTCATCGACGACGGCGTATGTTCACTTTGCAGTGCCGTGCGTTTAATTTTGGTGCATTTACCTCTGCTACTCGATTGTCTCCGTACTTTGTGTTCTCTTGCGCACATGGATACGCCTTGTCAGGGGCAAGTGCATGAGCGTCTTGTTGTTGCTCAACGTTTGATTGCATCCTGGCTGCGTTTCAGGTTGAAATTGGCCCCAACATCACGCTTCCAAAACACATCCGCGTCTCCCTCACTCGTTCCGAGGTGGGTGGGTGTGGGTGTGTGCTTGTTTGTGTGTTCGTGTGGATAGGGGTGTGTGTGGGTGTGTGCTTGATTGTGTGTTCGTGTGGGTTTATGTGAGGGTGTATCGCCAGTAATACGATGCACCATCAGCCTGAACGTCTCGCCTCTCACGCCCCCCCCCCCATTGCGCGTGCTTCTGTCATTGCAGCCACTGCACAATGAGCCTGAACCGTTGGAGATTTTTGCAGACGAAGCGCTTGTGTTCAGGCCGCGTGATCTTACGGCCTTGCCCGAAGTCACCGAAGACGAAGAAGAGGAGACGGACGACGTTGAAGACGCTGAAGAGGAGCTGTTCGATGGCGACCTGGAAGCGGAGCCGGAGTCCGGAACCGGCATGGAGGACACCCTCGCACCTGACGAGAGCGACCAAGCTGATGAAGACAACGCGGGTGATGGGGAGGAAGAGGAGGATGAGGAGGAAGCGGGCGAGGGGTCGACGGAGGACACGGAGCAGCAGGAAGAGAGTGAGCAGTATGATGTTGAGTTTGTCGGTGAGGCCGGTCGCGGATTTCGGTTCATTCTTCGACCAGATTTTGAGGACTCCGTGGAGGCCATGTACTGGAAAGGTACAATCCACACACGCACGCACACACACGCACACACACACGCACGCACACACACGCACACACACACACACAATGTTGTACGATATGCACTGCGGACAAGCACTTCACTCCTCACGGCAACTTCACCTGCACCGACTGCTCACGCAATCCCCTATGCTCGTGTCACCTTGAATCCCACCACCCACTGCTTGTGTCCGTGTACCTCACCACCTCATCCCCCTCGCTCCCTGCCTTGCTGGATAACATGTGTGTTTATCAGAACCAAAGAGGGCACCACCGCCTCCCGCCGTGTTCCCATCCGCCCTCACGCGCGCCATGTCGCTGTCGTCCGAGCTGCCAGAGTCACCCGAAGACGAGGACGTGGACAGCCTTCTTGGCGACGCAGATGTCGTTGAACCGCTGATTGATCTTGACCAGGAGTTTGAAGGTCAGCACACGTGTCTTTGTCTTGTGTCTTGCGCCGATGCAGATGATGCAAACATGTGTTGCGGTGCCGCAACAATGATCGCACCCTGCGTGCTTCCGTTCGAAGCCATGCCTTTTTGTGCACATGTGTGCGTGCATGCATGTGTGTATGTGTGCGCGTGTGTGTATACGGGTGAGTTTGTGGACGTGTGTTTGTCATTGCATGTTGTGTGATCTGCCTGCTCAGTGCTGACCGCTGTCATCTCCTTTGCCTGGACACCACCCTCCAGAGTTCTACTCTGATGTGCTTGAGCTGATCCAGCAGCGTGTCAAGCCGGACAACGTGAAGGGTGCGCCGTTTTCGGCCATCCAAGTCGAGATTACGGGCTCCCGCGCAGGTACGCGCGCATGCTCTGTGCGTGTGTATGTCTGCGTGTATGTCTGCGTGTGTGTGTATGCGTGTGTGTGCATGTGTGTGTGTGTGTGCATGTGGCGTAGTGCTTCACTCACTCGCTTTTCGTTTTGCGTTTCACTTTGTGTTTTGATGATTTGCATGATTGCCTTTATGCCAGCACACAACATGGATCACAGCGACGTGTGCTGTGCCATTGTGCGCGCCATCATCACGAGGTAAGCGCTGCGTCACAGCATCCTGTTGCATGTGTGTGTGTGTGTGCTCTCGGGTGGATTTCTCTTTCTCAAGAACCAACTCACGCACATGCGCTGTGTTGTGCTGTGCTTTGTGCTCGTGCCACCGACTGTGCAGTGCGGACCGTGTTCCGCGTGCGAAGTGTGAGCGGTATCTTGCGCAGGTAATAAGCAGCAGCAGCAGCAGCAGCAGCAACAACAAGAGTAGCTGTTGTGGGGCACGTGTTGTTGAATACTTGTTGGTTGTTGTGTGGACAGGGGAGAGTGATGGTGTTATTGCTGTGGGTACATTCTGGATGAGCGGGGCGTTGGTGGCTCGCTTGTTTTGTGCGCACATACACACACGCACACGCACACTGGCTTGAGCCTTTGACGTGTCTTTGGTTGTCCTGCTTCACCTCGCCTCACCTTGTGTTGCTTTTGTCTTGCGTTGTGTGATTGCAGCTGACTGCTGCCATGTCGCCATTCCTGCAAAACTACGTGGAGACGGACATGGACCAGCACGTGTGCATCGAGAATCTCATGGTAAGATGGAATGTGTGTCTTCACACGGTGTTGTGTGTCTGTGTGTGTCTGTGTCTGTGTGTGCACGTGTGTGTGTGCACGCGCGTTCGCTTGCTTTGGGCTGCCGTGGAAAACAAGAATTTGTTCTCATGACCGCACCCCGCCCGTTGCCGCTTGTGCTGTGATCACAGGAGTTTTGCTTGGACAACGACAAGGCCAGGCCCTGCTTTCAGACCTTGCTGTACACCCTGTATGACAAGGAAGTGCTTGACGAGGACGCCATCTTGCAGTGGTGCGTTTCTTGTAATGTCGTGTACGCGTTTGTTGTGCGGGTCGTGAACGTGTGCGTGTGTGCGCGATGACAACGTCCGCAGTAATGTGCGGGCCACCGTTCCAACCCCTTCTTCCTGGATGTCAACATGCCGAGTTTTCGGGGGCTTGCTGGCCTTTGCTTCGTGTTTTGTTGTGTTTTCTTTGCTGAGGCGCGATCCAAACAGTGCTCGCGCACGCACGCACGCGCACGCACGCATGCACACTGACACACGCATGCACACACGCGCCACCTTCAAAGTTCTCATCCGCCCTGTGCTTGCCTGCGACCCAGGTTCCGGGGTTACCACCCAGGCGAAGGTGCTGAGCGCCCGCAGGCGCACATCTATGAGCAGGTAGGTCTGTACGCGTGTTCTGTTCTTCTTAGTGTTTCACTCGCTGCCATCGCGTCTTTGTGAGTGCTCCCGACTTGGGCGCCTGTCATTATGACGACACGCTGCTCACTGGTGTGTCTCCCTTGTCTCGCTCTGCGTTGTCATTGCACCGTGTGATGAAAAGGCGCGGCGATTCGTCAAGTGGCTCGAAGAGGCTGAGGAAGAGGATGACGATGATGTTGACGATGATGAAAATGATGCTGAAGAGGCGCTTGCCGCGAGCAAGAGCCGTCATCGTGGTGATGATGATGGCGATGATGAAGACTCACAGGAACACAGTGTGTCTGGGGGGTGCGAGGAAGAGTAACGACGCGCGCATCGCATGATTGTTGTGGTTGAGTCATGGGCGTTTCCTGTCGTTGTGTACTGGTCCTATCATGGCACCGCCTGTTCGTGCCCAGGCCTCCCCGCGCCCGATGAACTGGGCTGATCTTGCATGGTGAACCCAAGCATACACCCATCAGTGGAGGGATGTTCCATGAAACAGCTTATTATGCCCGTGCTTTCTGCTGCTTCCCCTAACTCTCTTATCGGTCGCGTACCTGAACTGAAGCCTTAATGCGCCATGTACTTGACGACACGCACTGTTTTGTTTGCCTGTATTGGTTCTTCGTGGTTTCATACAAGTAAAATCATACACGATAGCGGTGTTATTGGCTCACGTGTCGTGCTGAGACCTGCATGGCTGGCTGTTGTGTGGCGGTTTTGGCCAATGGACTGGGGGTAGCATGAGTATCATGTGACGTATTGGAGGCAGGCTTCGCGTGTAAAGGGGAGTGCCTCGCTAACCTGGTTTTAGAAGACACTTCCGGTCATTCAAGCACTTACGGTGATTGGAGTTTCAAAGACAGTGCTGACAAAGGCTCTCTCGTCACAACGATGAAGCCTTTCTCCTTCCTCTGCGTTCTCTTCTAGACGAGGCGCGAGTGGTTTGTTTTGTTAGAGATGACACTGTACTACAGTATCCCCACAATAGAACAACAAAGGACAACAGGCGCAGTGGAGCAGCACGTGCAGGCCATTCCCCTCGCTTTAAAGTTCACTAGCACTTCTGCAGTGCACTCTGCCGTACAACGACAGCATTGTCACAACACTCTTCTCCACGCTTGTCCTATCTTTGATTCTGCTTGCAAGCACTGAAGCAACCTGAAACACTGACAGATGATAGCCGAGCGAGGGGAGCGGCAGCACCCGCGTAGACAGCCAAAGAAGAGAGTTCACCGGATAGAGGACAACAAAGCGAACCAAACATGATAAGAACAACACTACGACAGAAGAAGAAAGGAAGAAGAGCCGAAGAGAGGAAGAGAAGAACAGAACCCATACATAACATTTGCAGAAGAGCGCGGCATGAACACTATACCTTGTTCCTACAGGAAAAAACACGCAAAATGTTGCGAATATTCGTCGACCAAGAAGAAGAACACGCAGAACACTGTCGCATTTCCACAACCACTGCCGCACCTTGCACGAGAGCTTGAGCCAGAAGGTGCACCTCCTCGTCGTCGTCGTCGTCGTACAAAGAAACACCCACGGCAGAGGCCGAAGCAAACGAGGGAACAAGAAGACACCGGGTGGGAGCGGACGCACCAGGAACCAAGAGCCAGCAACCATGCAGGCCGTTGTCGTCGCAGACTCATATAACAGACGGTAAGCGACATGCAGGAACACGTCCCCATCGTGTGTGCGTGTGTGCAACGCTGAGGTGTTTGGTGGTCTGTGTGTGCTGTTTTGCTTCGTGATGGTTGTCGTTGCTCGTGCGTATGCTCGTCTCTGACGGCTCTGTTTTGACAACAAACCGTGTGCATGTGCACCCTCGGTGGGGTGCGCACCTCTTTGACGTTCGTTGACTGCAAACACCCACGCCCATGCCCCCCACAACCACATCTCACCATTTGTGGTTTATTGTGCGCACTGGCCTTTGAAGGTTCGACCCACTGACACAGAAGACGCCACGCACGCTCCTGCCTTTGTGCAACGTGCCGCTCATCGACTATGTGCTGAAGTTTCTCGACTCAAACGGCGTCACAGAGACCTTCGTGGTGACCCGTACAAACGCCGACAAAATCCACGTGAGTCGATGTTGCACAGCAGTGAACGAGCCACAGGGTCGAAGTTTGGACACACAGTGCGTGTGTGCGTGTGTGTGCGTGTGTGTGCGTGTGTGTGCGTGTGTGTGCGTGTGTGTGCGTGTGTGTGCGTGTGTGTGCGTGTGTGTGCGTGTGTGTGCGTGTGTGCTGCGTATGCGCATGCGTGTGTTGGGCAGTGCTCAACAGGGAGTTGAATGCGAGTGTTGCCTGGCAATTACGAGATCAACGCTCACCCTCAATTCGTCTTTGTTCACATGGACACCCATCACACAAACAGCAACACTTGGAGAGCGTGAGCTCGCAGTTCAAGTCCATGAAGCTCACGTGCGTCGTCAGCCAAGGCAGCCACAACTTTGGTGACGCCCTCCGCGACTTGGAGACGCGCAAGCAGATCGACTCACACTTCATCCTGGTGGGTTCCGGGCTCGTTGGCATGCAGTGGAAGTGATGGGTTATTCAGTGATGGGCTGCTGTCAAGACAAGCTCAGGTGTCTTTGCCGGTGCACGCTACGTGTCGACATCTGACCACTTGCGTTCTGTGCGTTGTATTTGCTCTGTGCCTACACTGCTTGCAGGTGACGGGCGACATCGTGTCCAACTATGACCTGCGTCCTGTCATCGAGGAGCACATGTGAGTGGACTGCACCGCACGTGTCATCACCACCACCACCAGCATCATCATCTGGTGCAAGCACATTCACATGCACGTGTTTAACACGCAACACACAACGTACACACAACGCACACACAACGCACACACACCGCACACAGAGCATACAGAGCACAGGCCTTCTTTGTGGTTTTGTTCACCTCTTGCTTGCTTTGTGTCGTGTGTCTGCACGTTTGTCACAGTGCGCGTGCGGACAAGGACAAAGACTGCCTGATGACAATGCTCATGACGCAGTGCGATCACGAGCATCCAGTGCGCAGCATCGAGGAGGACACGTTTGTTGTGGTGGACTCTGAGGACAACAGGTGTGTTGTTGTTGTTGTTGTTGTTGTTGTTGTTGTTGTTGTTGTTGTGTGTTTGATTGTGTGTGATTGTGTGTGACTGTGTGTGCTTTTGTGTGCTTTTGTAGGAGGCGGTCGTCTGTGTGCATCCGTCCGTGTGCATGTGCGCGTGGCTGTGTGCGTATCCGTGTGCCTGTGGTTTTATGTCTCTGTTACTCTCTGTGCGCATCCGTTCGTGTGTGTGTGTGTGTTGTCGGGTTGGTTGTGCCTGCAGACTGCTGATGGGTTGCAATCATGCGGCCTTGCCTGTAATGTGTACACTTGTTTGCTGTTCTTCTTGGTACTGCTGCTACACACTGAATGCTGACTGCTGACTGCTGACTGCTGAACGCGTGCACAGGCTGCTGTACCTGGATAGCCCCGAAGACGGCCACATCCGCGTTCCCTTGGTGCGTGTGTGTGCATGTGTACCTGTGGATGTGCACATGTGTGAATGGATGTGCATGTGTGCACAAGAACATGTGCATGTGTGTGTGTGCATGTGCATGTGTGCACAAGAACATGTGCATATGCATGTGTGCGTGTACGTGTGCCTGATTTTGTTGTACTGGAGTGCGGAGACGTTGATCGATGTGCGCTCACCACACACACACATGCGTTGCATGTTATACTTTTGTGTGTTTCCTGGTGTCAGGATCGTGTGATGGAGCGAAAGCAGGTGCAGCTGCGGTACGACTTGGTACAGAGCCACATCTTCATCTGCACTCCGCTGGTGAGCTGCTCTGGCTTTTGCATTTTCATTGTGTGACAGCATGTACACTGTCAGTGGCTGCCGATTGTTGGTATTGTATCATTGTGCATGTGTGGTATACGACGAGGCATGCTGCGTGTCGTGTTTGGATTGTAGCTGACATGCAATGTGCGCTATGTACGTGTGTGCGTGTGTGTGTGCGCAATATGTGTGTGTGTGTGTGTGCGTGCATGTGCTCTTTTGTGCATGAGCAGATGCTGATGCAGTTCCATGACAACTTTGACTACGCGAGCGTGTTTGATCTGATCCGCGGCGTCATCGACAACGAAGACGTCAGTGATAGCCGTTGCTGATTCGTTTGTGCTGCGTGTGCTGTGTGCTGCGTGTGTGTGTGCTGCGTGTGTGTGCTGCGTGCGCGCGCGCGTGTGTGTGTGGATACTTCATGAGCACTTGCATGTGTCCTCTGTCCCTGTCTGTCATTTTGTGGTGCGCGACACGTCTGCGAGTTTGCTCAGTACGCCTGATTGACGTGCCGTTGACATGCCACCACGTGGATGCACACTGTGCAGATTGTTGGGTACAAGATCCACACGGCTGTGTCGCCCAAGTTCTATGCGACGCGGTGCGCAAACCTGACGTCGTACGATGCGATGACGCAAGATCTGATGAACCGGTGGACGTATCCGCTTGTGCCCGATATGTTTGCGCCGAGCCACGATGAGCTGTACCAGTACAAGCGCAGCAACATCTATCTCCAGCCAGGCTGCATCCTTGGCAGGTGCGTGCATGTGTGTGTGTGTGATTGGTGGGTGTCGGGGGTGTCTGCGTGTGTGATTGGTGGGTGTCAGGGTGTCTGCGGGTGTGTGCGCATGGGTGTGCATGCCATTTCTTGCTGTTGCTGAGTTCGGTTGTGAGGTGTTGCAGTTGGGATATTTTTGATGCGGGCACATTGGCTCGCGTGCGCGCTCATGTTTGTGGACTACACTTGCGCTCACTCACTCACCTACACACTCACTCACGTGCTCCTTCTCTATGCTGGTTGTGATGCTGGTGATGTGTCACACGCACTCATGCAATTATCTGCTTATATCCCATCGTATGTGTGTTTGACTTTTGTGTGTGTGTGTGTGTGTGTGTTTGCCTTTTGTGTGTGTGTATGTGTGTGTGTGTGTGCTCATAGACGGTGCAAGCTGCTTGGGTCGGTTGTGCTTGGGCCGGGGTGTGTTGTTGGCGAAGGGGATGGGGCAGAGACGACGCTTCGCGGCACAGTGCTTGGCAGGAACTGCACCGTCGGTGCGTGATGTCACGCCACACATGCACGTGTACTCAGTGTCACTGTGTGTTGGTGGACACGTTGTGCTGCTGGATTGCCAACTTGATTGCGTGCGTGTCGCTGTGACTGGGTCCGTGTTTGTTGCTGTGACTGGTTGTGTGCATACCAGTTTTAACCTGTGTGTGTGTGTGTGTGTGCGTTGTGTGCGTTGTGTGCGCGCTGTGTGCGTTGTGTGCGTTGTGTGTGCGCTGTGTGCTTGTTGAACAGGGTGCGGTGTGCGCCTGCGCAATGCATATGTGCTGGATGGGAGCACCATTGGCAACAACTGCAGCGTGGACCACGTGGGTTGCTTGCGCAGTGCTTTACTTTTGATGGAGGCCTGCTCCTTATGTGCTCTTGTGTTTGTGTACGTGCTTGTGGTCGTGCCGATATGCGAGCACATTGCATCTTGCGTTGTAGCTGTGCGTGTATGCATGGAATCTGGTCGTTTGGACGTGCACCAGCTGATGCTGGGCTTGAGATGCTGGTGTGTGACACGTGTGCAGGCGCTGATTGGACGCAACGTGAAGATCTATGACGGCGTGGTGATTCCACACGGCTGTGTCATCGACGACGGCGTACGTTCACTTCAATCGTGTTCACCTTTTTCTCCACCGGTCTCGCCTACGTTGATGTTTGCCGTTGTTGCGCACGTTGTCCTGGAGCTCCGTCCTCCCTTGCCTGTCCCCATCTCACCCCATCACCCCACACCTGTACTCCCACACTATCAGGTTGAGCTTGGGCCGGACGTCTGCCTGGAGAAGCACATGCGCGTGTCCCTCGAACCCCAGGAGGTATCCACGTCCACCCCGCACGACGCAGAACAAGCGCACTTGCCTTGATCTCCTCCCCTGCGACAGGCTGCTGTGTTTGTGATTCCTTGGTCTCTTTGTATCAGAGCGCTCTGTTCGCGCTCTCGACAGCCTTCCCGCAATGTTGGTTGTCGCTGACACCTCGTTACTGCCACTGATACTGCGACACTGTTTGCTTGCCACCGTGTGTTCGCGCTTCAGGCGAGTGGTGACACCATGGCGGGCTTTGTTGCGTACAACGAGGAGCACATTGCGCGCCGCCGCCGCCAGCTCAGCGTGCTCTCGGAACGCGACGAGGAAGGCGAGGACGGCCAGCACGATGCAGCGCACTCGTCTGCAGAGGAGTCTGCTGATGATGCCAGCGAGGGTGCTGCAGAGGGCCACGAGCCCGCACCCCGCCCCCTCAACGCCGCAGGATTTGACCTGGCGGTGGTTGGCGCACGCGGCCGCGGATACGCGTTTGTGCCCGAGCTCGACTTTGGCGAGGCCGAGGAGAACACGCTCTGGAAAGGTGGGCACGGGGAAGGGAGAGGATGCATTGCTGGGGAGGATGCACTGTGGTCATGGTGTTTGAGGTGGGAGGACGCATGCTCGGCGCTGGTGCTGGCTGCACCTGCACGGTGTGTGCCGTGCGTAATTGTGTGTGTGCCCGTGTCTGAAGGTCGTGTGCTGAATGAATATTATCCTCCCGTTCGTATGTGTGCGTGTGTGTGTATTCGTGGACGGCAGAGGGCTCGCTTGAGGCTGCGCCCATCTTGTACATCCCGCGGACCATGTCGCGCTCCTCGGAGATTGAGGAAATGCCAAAGGAGGAGGATGAGGACCTGGACAGCCTCCTTGGCGAGGACGAGGATGCCGAGCCCTTGATTGACGTCGACGCAGAGTTTGAAGGTCCGCACGTGTGCGTACATGTGTTCGTGTGTATGCGTGCATGTGTGTGCGTGCATGTGTATGTGTGCGTGCATGCATGTGTGTATGTGTGCGCGTGTGTGTATACGGGTGAGTTTGTGGACGTGTGTTTGTCATTGCATGTTGTGTGATCTGCCTGCTCAGTGCTGACCGCTGTCATCTCCTTTGCCTGGACACCACCCTCCAGAGTTCTACTCTGATGTGCTTGAGCTGATCCAGCAGCGTGTCAAGCCGGACAACGTGAAGGGTGCGCCGTTTTCGGCCATCCAAGTCGAGATTACGGGCTCCCGCGCAGGTACGCGCGCATGCTCTGTGCGTGTGTATGTCTGCGTGTATGTCTGCGTGTGTGTGTATGCGTGTGTGTGCATGTGTGTGTGTGTGTGCATGTGGCGTAGTGCTTCACTCACTCGCTTTTCGTTTTGCGTTTCACTTTGTGTTTTGATGATTTGCATGATTGCCTTTATGCCAGCACACAACATGGATCACAGCGACGTGTGCTGTGCCATTGTGCGCGCCATCATCACGAGGTAAGCGCTGCGTCACAGCATCCTGTTGCATGTGTGTGTGTGTGTGCTCTCGGGTGGATTTCTCTTTCTCAAGAACCAACTCACGCACATGCGCTGTGTTGTGCTGTGCTTTGTGCTCGTGCCACCGACTGTGCAGTGCGGACCGTGTTCCGCGTGCGAAGTGTGAGCGGTATCTTGCGCAGGTAATAAGCAGCAGCAGCAGCAGCAGCAGCAACAACAAGAGTAGCTGTTGTGGGGCACGTGTTGTTGAATACTTGTTGGTTGTTGTGTGGACAGGGGAGAGTGATGGTGTTATTGCTGTGGGTACATTCTGGATGAGCGGGGCGTTGGTGGCTCGCTTGTTTTGTGCGCACATACACACACGCACACGCACACTGGCTTGAGCCTTTGACGTGTCTTTGGTTGTCCTGCTTCACCTCGCCTCACCTTGTGTTGCTTTTGTCTTGCGTTGTGTGATTGCAGCTGACTGCTGCCATGTCGCCATTCCTGCAAAACTACGTGGAGACGGACATGGACCAGCACGTGTGCATTGAGAACGTCTGGGTACGTGCCATCCTTCCCGCGTCCCATTGCGTGTCTCGTGCACTCGGAGATTGTCTTGTTCGCGTCTTCGCAGCTGGGTGTGCTGCCTGCCCCACCCCGCATCGTCCTCACCGCCTCTTCTTCTTTGTGTGCGCAGGAGTTTTGCATGGAGAACGAGCACTCTCGCCACTGCTTCAAGACATTGCTGTTTACCCTCTACGACAGAGAAGTGCTTGACGAGGACGCCATCTTGCAGTGGTGCGTTCCTTGTGGTGTCGTGTGTGCGTGCGCTTGTGAGCGGTGCTTGAGCGCCGCACGTGTGTAAGTGAATGACGTGTGGGCGGCGTGTGAGCATGTTTGCACATGTGTTTGGTGTGCATGTGCATGTGCATGTGCGTGTGTGTGTGTGTGCATGTGTGTATGCTGGACACGCGGCCCCCCAATGCCCAAGTCAGCAGTCGACGTTCCAAGTTACTGTGGCATTCTTCTTGATGTTCTGCCTCCTCCATGTGCGCGCGTGTGTGTGCGTGTGCGCGCGTGGTTTTGTCTTCTCTGCTCCATACGCAGGTTTGAGGGCTTCAATCCTGGCGAGGGCGCGTCTCCTGCCGAGAAGAGCCTTTATGACCAGGTTTGTGTTGTCTCTTGCACTTCTGCGGTAGCAGCGCGTGACGCGTACGTTCGTGTGTGCGTGTGTATACGTGCGTGACGCGTGCGTGTGCGTGTTTCTGTGCGTGCGCGTGTTTCTGTGCGCGTGCGTGTGCGTGTGTGTGCCAATGTGCCTCATCTGTGCTTGTTTGTTGGCCCCACTGTGCATTCACGCCTGGTTGCTGTGCCCATGACCTGTGTTGAACAGGCCAAGCAGTTTGTCACCTGGCTGGAAGAGGCCGAGGAGGAGAGCGACTGAGACTGCGGTGTGCGCTTGTGCAGCACAGCAAGAAGAGGGCGGGAGAGCATGTGTGTGTGGTGTGTGTGATGGGCGGGAGAGCATGTGTGTGTGGTGTGTGTGATGTGTATGTGTGTGTGCGTGTGTGTGGTGCGTGTGTGTATGTGTGTGTGATGTGAGTGTGTGATGTGAGTGTGATGGCCTTGCTTTGTCTCTGGCTTGCGTATGAGTCATTGTTGCTCCTTGCTTGCTTGCTTCGTGAGTCATCATGTGGTGCTTGTGTGGAAATCATGCAATAAAATTCGACGAAATTTTCGTGGCCAATTTCACAGCGCCGCGATCTCACGAAAAACAGCAGAAACCAACCCCCCTGACACAAAAACAAACACCACAACCAACCGACAATCAAATCACAACACACGCTCTCACACGCTTGTCTCTCTGCTCTGTCTCTCTCGACGCTTTACATCCGATTCAACGCGAGGGGCTTTGTCAGAAGCACACGACTGGTTGGTGCTGGACCGCACACGCTCAAGGCATAACGCAGATACAGAAGACCGATTCAGCACGATCAATCTGTCGATCAACAAAAAAGTCATGGGGTGGTCATCTCTTCGCTTGCGCCGACGCGCTGGATACTCAGGTGCGCATCTTATCGCGGTTGTCGTGGTGATCGTGCTGTTGTTGTAATGAGTGCTGGCTTTGTTGTTCGCACACACACACACACATGTGTGTGCGCGTGTGAATGCGTGTGAATGCGGTAGGTACGACAGAGCCGTCTTAGCTACTTGTTTCGTTGTATTGCTTGTTTCGTTGTATTAGTCTCTCTGCTGGTCAAATATGCGTTGGGGGTGTTCAATGCTGTCGTGCAGTATCCGTTGCTGACCGCTGTTGATGGCCAATGTTGTTTCCCTGTGTCTTTCGGGGGGGGGTGTGTGTGTTGTTCTCAGATGTTGATGCTGGAAAGTCATCATCGGCGACGAGCAGCAAGCGCACTGTATCAACACATCGTTCTTCCCATGACGAGCGTCATGAGGATGCTATGTCGAGCGTTTCCAGTTCAAGCTCGAGCTCAGCGTGTTCGTCGGCATCGTCATCACCAGGGGAGGGTGTTGGCAAGCATGCAAGCAAAGTGAAGCAATCCCTGGCGCGCCTGGCTCCATTTGCATCACACACAACAACACAGGTATGGTTGCTTCCAGCTCCTGTGCCTGCTTGTTCCTCGTACTGTTGTGCTCACGTGTCCGTCAAAGCTTGTTTGCACCTCCTGCTTGCTTGTGCAGCTAGCCAGCTCTGTTGTGTCTCCTCTGTTCCCAGGTTGTCGCAAGTCCCCGTTTTCTTCCATTTTCACCCCTCTCCGCATTCGGTTCTCACCCCAATGGCCGCTTCTACGCCGCCCCCCCCCGACAACAACTTCACTTCATGTCATGGTTGGTTGGTCTGCGCGCAGAGATTAACATCTGGCCATCGCCAGCGATTCTACGGCACCTTCTAACTTGCTTGTTGGAAGGCGGCCACGACGCATGTCGTACCTTACTTACTTCGCACATTGCAACCCCACACAAAACACAACCGCATGTAGACAAAAGGAGAGCTTGGTGTTGATTTGACGGAGCGTGCTTCTCTCCCTTCTCCCCCCCCCCATTCCTTGCCTCGCTTGCTTGCTTGCTTGTTTTTGTTTTGGTTGATGCTTGGCTGCTGAGGCGACGGCGGCGCACTTGGCATCCTCATGGGAGATATCGCGCTTCCCACCGTTTGCAGAGCAGCCAGCCCAAACAAACAAAAAAAACCCGGACACACAACTTTTCTTGGGTTGCTTCATTTTATGCCGTCGCTTTCTGTTGCTCCAACAATTTCCGCTGACTCATGATTTCGTTCGGTTCTTGTTATTTCTGTTCATATCTTCCAGTAAACGGCAGAACCGCTCACCGTTGCTTCCAGAACACGCACGTGGTTGCCACACGCCACCAGCAGCACACTGCTTGTGCGTTCGCAACACTGCACACGTTGCACACTCTGCACTGCACACAAAGCACTTTGTCGCGTGGTGTTTTTTCGGTCGACTGACTGGCTGGCTTTCTCTCTGAGTGGTGCGATCGTCTGTTCACGTGGCATTTTCCACATCATCCTCTATCATAGATCAGACAAGTGAAAGCACTCTCCCTTTCCTTTCCTCACGCACTACTACAAGACGCAAAGAAGATGCCAGCCATCGGAATTGATCTGGGCACGACGTACTCGTGCGTCGGCGTGTTCCAGCACGGCAAGGTTGAGATTATCGCCAACGACCAGGGCAACCGCACCACGCCCAGCTATGTTGCCTTCACGGACTCTGAGCGCCTGATTGGCGACCCGGCCAAGAACCAGGTGGCCATGAACCCAAGCAACACCGTCTTCGACGCCAAGCGCCTCATCGGCCGCAAGTTCAACGAGACCGCCGTGCAGAGCGACATGAAGCACTGGCCCTTCACCGTCGTCGAGGTCGACGGCCGCCCCAAGATCCAGGTCGAGTACATGGGCGAGACAAAGCAGTTCTTCCCCGAGGAGATCTCCTCCATGGTCCTCGTCAAGATGAGGGAGATTGCCGAGGCCTACCTCGGCTCCGAGGTCAAGGACGCCGTCGTCACCGTCCCCGCCTACTTCAACGACTCCCAGCGCCAGGCCACCAAGGACGCAGGCACCATTGCCGGCCTCAACGTCCTCCGCATCATCAACGAGCCCACGGCCGCCGCCATCGCCTACGGCCTCGACAAGAAGGGCCAGGCTGAGGCCCACGTCCTCATCTTCGATCTCGGTGGTGGCACCTTCGATGTGTCCGTCCTGTCCATCGACGACGGCATCTTCGAGGTCAAGTCCACTGCCGGTGACACCCACCTTGGCGGCGAGGACTTTGACAACCGCATGGTCAACCACTTTGTGACCGAGTTCAAGCGCAAGC